CTAGTTGGTTCTACTGACCTTTTTTTCACCTCCAAATTGAAATTACAGTAGAATACAGAATGCTTAAAGCACAGTTAGGAGTTATGTCATTGCCTACGTGAAGCCCACTCTTAGATTCACCATTCTGAATTATGACCCCCCCCCCCCCGACTCAACCCCCAGTGCTCCAATGTGCCTTCTTATTAATAATTAATCGATTCAGCAAATTTAACAAATGGTTCAGATATCTTCTGCATTTTATTATGCTACAGCGCTAGCTCACCAATACTTTTAAAAGATAAGCTTGTCTGTATATAATCTTGATGGACAGCTGAGTGATACAGGTCACGCAGTGGAAAATTTTCTCTTTATATATATATATCGCATTTCTCTTTATATATATCCGGGTTTTGTTTATACATATCGCATTTCCTTTATATATATCCAGGTTTTGTTTATATATTTTGCATTTCCTTTATATATATATATAGAGAGAGAGAGAGAGATTTTGTTTTTATATTTCGCATTTCCTTTACATATCGAGGTTTGCTTTTATATATGGCTTTTCCTTTATATATACAGGTTGGCACTAATGGGATTCCGTGCCAACAGATTGTCACGTATGTTTTAAAAGACGCAGTAAATATTGTTCCAAGATTTCATATTTTGTATAGATCTACAGATCAACTTTCTTTCGGCATTCAACGTCAACAATGAAACGGCATCAATATTTATGCGTCATCGATTTGGGTAGAAATCAATCAACATAGTATTACATAGGATAGGATTACAATCAACATTGTATTACATAGGATAGGATAACAATCAACATAGTATTACATAGGATTACAATCAACATAGTATTACATAGGATAGGATTACAATCAACATAGTATTACATTGGATAGGATTACAATCAATATAGTATTACATAGGATTACAATCAACATAGTATTACATAGGATAGGATTACAATCAACATAGTATTACGGGGGGAACTCAAAATTTTGTTAAAAACTAAAATCGTATGAGATATTAGAACATCTATTACTATTCTCTATTGAGAAGTTGATGGGTCGTTTTATACTCCCCCTCAATGGGAGTATAAAACGACCCATCAACTTCTCAATAGATAATAATCTATTACCAACTCGGTTGAAATGGTTTATATTTTGTTCGGCAAGCTTGGCAAATATACACTATTTCAACTTGTTGAATACAGCAAATATAAAATCACACAATATAGATTCCTTTATTTATTAGGTCACCTGAGTCCCTCGGGTGACCTTTTGCTATCTGTTTTCGTCTTTCTTTGTGCAACATGGACTGCTGGTCGGTCGTAATAATTCAGCTTCTTCTATTGAAGCACTGAACCAGTTTCAACCGATTTTGGCAAATAATATTAATGGGTATATAAAGGGGTACTACATGGTCCCTGCCAACATGGGGCCCGAGGTGTGGGGCTAAAATCATCCAAATTAATTATTGAATCTTTAAACCTGGACATCAAGCAGTCAGATTGTTGGCATGATTGTAATAAGAATTGAGCCCTCTACCAAAATTTTGAAATTCACGGCCAAAGGGGCAGATGTTTGGATTTAGGGTAGACTAAAACGATCATATAGAGAAAATGCAAGAATTCATTAAAAGTTGTGGCCCTAGGGTCAAGGGTTCTGGTGGGGTGGGTGGTTCTATTGATTCTACAGTGGAAATGCATGATGATGATTGTTACGTGATTTTTTGTTTGTTTGTTTGTTTGTTTTTTTTTGTTTGTTTGTTTGTTTGTTTTTTTTTTTTGAAAACCTTCATCTCTGCTCCTGGGTATTTAGCAGATAAACTAATTGCATAGTTATGATAAGCAAAGGGTGTCTCTTCCAAAACTGTGAATTCCATGGCCCTGGGTCAAGGGTTCTGGTGTTGGGGCGGGACTTTATTTACTATGTAGTGACAATGCATTAATTCTTTGAAAAACCTCACTGCTCCTGTGTATTTAGCAGATAAACTGAGTGCACACTTGTGGTGAGCAAAGGCGCTTCATCCAAAGTTGTGAAATTTGTAGCCCAAGGGTCAGAGTTTCTGGTGTGTGTGTGTGTGTGTGTGTGTGTGTGTGGGAGGGGGTGGGCTTTATTGATTATATAGTGAAAATACATTATTTCTATAGCAGATAAACTAAATACATAGCTATGATAAGCTAGCGTGCCTCTTTCAAAATTGTGAATTTCATGACTCCTGAGTCAAAAATTCTGGTGTTAGCTCTGTTGAATCTGTAGTTAAAATACATTATTTATTTGAAAATTTTTGCTCATGGGCATCTAGGGGACAAACAGAGTACAATGTAATAAGCAAGGGTTCTTTTTATCCAGATTTTAAAAGTCTGGACCATTTAGTCCCGTGTTCTTGTGCTGGGCAGAGCTCAATTTATTTGTATCCTACTGAGAAAATTATTCCCTTTTGCTATTCACGTAATTTATGATATACAGTATGTATGATAATTAAGCACTGTAAATAATCTAATTGAAAGGTCAATTGAATAAATGTATTATTAAAAAAATTTATAATACATGATACAGAAAGTACTTTCATGGCAGATTGTAAATAATAGATAAATAAAAATTTTTTTTACAGTCTGCAGCTATATACTCAGGTGACCGTTAAGACCTTTGGACCTCTTGTCTATTTGACCTGCAATTGCATGCGTTAATTATGTTCCCCAAACGAAGTTTGGAAACATATTGTTTTTACTTTCTTTTTTGAAAATTTCTTCTCCGGTACTTTTTTATCTGCGAGTGTTCTCGGAAACTACTCATCCAATTGAGTTGAAACCTTTTAGGGTCAATAGGCATGTTGTGTAAATTTGCGGAACGAATGTCAGTTTGCGCGCACGTGCAGGCGTGTGCGATGAGTGAAATGACTGATAAAATTGGAAAAGCTATAACTTCCCTATTTTTTTTTATTAAATGCTTTGAAACTCAGAATATAAATATATTTTAGTAGTGTACATAAGATGATTGTGTTAAATAAGCATGAACGCACGCGCATGCACGTGTGCTACGCTCTGAATGGCTGAAACAAAAATCTGAATATCTTGTTTTTTGATGAAATACTTTGAAATTTAAAACATAGTCAAACATTAGGAGGTTCTGCAATATGATTTATATATGAAATGTCGTGAAAACACGCGCTTGCTCGTGTCCATGCTGCAATTTGATTGGCTTAAACTTTAAATGGCCTTAACATTCTTAGTTTTCAACAAAACAGAGTGAAAATTTTGAATATTGATAGGTATTATAGGTTCCTACATTATGTAACTATCAAAATTGAATGCAAGAACAGGTATGCACTTGTGCTGGATTCTGATTGGCTAATACTAATTTGGCTGTATCTTTCATAGTTTTCATTGAAAATTTGAGATTTCACACATAGGTATTTATTGTGAGTCTCTTTACGAGGAAGATATGTGAAATGTCTAGAAAACATGGACATGCACGTGCGCTAAAATCTGATTGGCTAAAACTCAAAGGACAGTACCGGCGTTTTTTTTTTTTTTTCGATAAAATACTTCTGAAAATAAACAGTAGATTAATTAATCAAACGAATATCGCATAATTTTATGAAGCTTATAGGGGAATGGGGCCCATAGGGGGTTGGGAAGCGTTTGAGGAACATCTGTAACAGTTCCCGTTACAAGTAGAAATAGTTCATATAGCATTTTCATGCTACAAAAACGGCGACAAAAACCAATGACGTTAGAAGAGGGACAAAAAAAAAGACCACTTGACGAAATTAAAAACTCTTTACTTATCCTTTTACTCTGCTTAAAAATATTTAGTAATTTCCTTACTAAATAATCGAAATACGAACAAAACATTTAATTTCCTACTAACCAAAAATATTTCCAGTAACTTGTTTCATTTCCTGCACTAATCATGGATCCTACTGCTGTCGATGGTTTTGAAACTGTCAGATACAGACTTAATATAACAGTTGAATTTCGGGTTTAAAAAATCCCAGCTATAGAAAAAGTTTTGTCATTAGATATATAGTAAAAGTACAGATTGCTAAGAATGTTTTCCTGGCATTTGCAACAAAATACCGGTAAAATTAATAGGTAAGAATTATTTTCTTTTCTCCCCTTTTTTCAACCAATTTTTTTATCCCTGAGAAAATGATGTGTAAAGTTAGGCTACAGCTTTTTTGCCTATGTGGAATATACGCCAACGTTTATAATGTTGTTTTTTTTTAAATAGTTCCGATTATTAACTAAATTCCTTTAAATTATCCATCTTCTATTTATGTTCTTATTGTCACAAATACCAGAGGAACGGTGATTTTTCTTCAAATATGAAGGCATTTTGGTTGAGGTGCATGCATTATTGAATGAATCCAGTGACGGAATAAATTGTATTTAGCATTTAACACACCTTTACTTAATTTAATAATTATTATGATCTTTTTCTCCGCCTTCGCTAACCAGGTGTTTCTGATTCGCTCCTTGGCACAGGCACCTGATGAATGGTTGGTGTAACCCCCCCCCCCTTCCGAGTTTCTTTTTTTGGACACGATAAATTGGCATATATACATGAATGCCTAGCCTACCATACCAATACTTCGATATTTGATATCATTTTCCGTTTTTGTCAAGTTTTAGAGATTGTTCCTTAAGGGTATATAAAAATACTTTATATACGCTAAAGGGGCAATTTCTAAAACTTGAAAAAAGGGAAATGATATTAAATATCGAAGTATTGGTACGGTAGGCTAGGAATTCATGTACTAGTATATAAGCTAAGTTATCGTGCCCATAAAAAATTCTCAGAAGGAAAGGGAGGGGGGGGGGGTTACATCAACCATTCATTAGGTGCCTGTACTCCTTGGGAATAGAGCGAATCGTATACTCTTGGCTACACTAGCAAAATGTTTTTCCCTTACCTTTCTCTGTTTGCTTCTTCTCAAACTATTATAAAAATTAAATATATCATTTCCAATGGATCTTCACATCAAATGCAAAATATTGAGCACTGTAACTTTACATAATTTAATTTAAAATTGAATTATAATTAAGTAAAATCTGTACATTGTTAACATCAATATTCATAAAAATTTTTAAAAAAAATTGAACACTTCATAAATTATGAAAAAAACATAACAAAGTCAGCAAGGAAAGAAAGGAAGACAAAGGCATACACAGAATGGATGTACACAGGCCAAACTAGAGGGTTTCATAACAATCAAGTGTAAAAAAAAAAAAAAAAAAAAAAAAAAAAAAAAAAAAAAAAAAGCATTAAATAGAAATACTGATCAAGATATTATAAAATATTATTATACAAAAATTAGTATAAGATTCTGTCAATGGTCGAGACAATGTATATATGTACTGCACCAATTCTTTTAGTGTTTGCTCTTTAATTAAACAAGCTTTATGTTTACGATTATTCAAATAAGTAAATTCTGTGAACATTTCAAACACATCGAATGTATATCTTCTGAAGACAATCGCGTATATATTATTTAGAGTTGAATAACGTTCAAATATATTAAAATGTCAAAATAATCGACATTTCTGTTTCGTTTTCTTTAAGTTTGCTTATTCTACTGCATATGAACAAGGCACTAGAAGTATTTCTGAAATTACTTCTATTCTTTAGTCTTAGCACTGTTAAACCAGCTACACGGAAGTCAAGGGAACTTCCTTATATTCTAAGAGACGTCACGGAAAAAAAGCTTGATCACAGAATTGCACACTTAAATCTTCTGCCTGACGACGCTTTCTTCTTCACTTTCGGATCTAACACTGCTATAAGGGCTTCGTCAAAGACGTCCTTTAAGCCTTGTCGTGTTAATGCTGAACACTCTACATAACAGTCACAATTGAACTTTTTCGCCATTTTTTGTCCCTCTTCTAACGTCACTGGTTTTTGTCGCCGTTTTTGTAGCTTTTGACCTATTTTTTCATCGTCTCTTAAGTCAACTTGTGTACCCACTAAAATGTAGGCTGCTTCCGGCACTTGGTGTCTCACTTCAGGAATCCATTTTAGTTCTAAATTTTTCAAGGATTCTGGCATCACAACAGAGAAACACATGAGAAAAACATGAGTTCCTGGGTATGACAAGAGACGAAGACCCTGATATTCTTCCTGTAATATAAAGAAAATTAAATGTAATAAAAGAAAAAATGTGTTCAGATGCGCAGTTTATTATTGTTACTGTACTTCCTTTTACGCCTGATAACTGGACAGAGCCTCCTATATGCTTAGGTTTCTTATTTTTACCTGCTGTCTACCTGGTCGACAGAAGGCAGATTAAAATAACTCAGCATACCTGTTGGTCACTCCTATCTTATTTAATATTCATAAAGTATTCAGAGCCATCTCGAAATGAATCATGAAACAATTATAATCGAAACTGTGTATTAACTACACTACAGAGGTTTTATCAAAGATACTGGCACAACCATAACCAAATCGTCCGGGGGGTCCAGACTCTTATATGGACCTTAAAATCCCACCCCTCCCTGAATAGTTATAACTCATTTTACACGGCCCTCCATGGGGGAGGGGGGGGGGTGGCGGCTACCCCCTCTTGCCAGCTATAGCTATGCCACTGTCTCTAATCATCCCTGGCCTTATATATACTATACTTATTTGTTCAAGGTGATTCCCTCTAGAAATACACTCTGTTTCTTTTATTCAAATTAAATTACCCAGTATCTAACAAAAATGAACAGTTTTGGTCTTTACAGCAAGATCTTTTGTATAAGGGAGAAAAATTTCCTTGTTTGATGTACCAATTTTATATCGCAGTACCTAAGTATTACGTTAAAGCATGAAATGAGGGCTTTGAAAACCGAAAGGGTCTCTTTATGAATCGACCAACATTACATAATTACTGACGCTAATATCTGGTCATCAGAGATGCATAGATTAATGATGTCCTTTAACCTTCGAAATTCACGTAATTTTTGAAATTCTATTATAAATAAATTATCTAAACACAAAGTTCAGCAAAATTTAACATAAGGAAGATATACAAACACTAGATAACAAAGCGATAACAGCAATTCAATTCCCTCTTAAAGGAAGATGTGCAACATATATAAAGTGATCAATAACTTCCAGATTTACCAGAAAGTGGTCGCATGCAGACTTGTCCTTACCTGACCCGCAGTGTCAAACAGTCCTAGCTGATAATCTTGTTCTTTTACTTTCACATTAACTGCCAAAAAAAATTGTACAGATTAGCTCAATTATATAGCCTTAAATAAACACAAAATACACCACAAGATACATATATATATAATGTACTTTGTATTCCTCATTACATTCCAAAGCTGCTTTTCTTATGAAGTCTTACAGATGTACTGACTTGGTTTTGCTTTCAAATGCAGAATTAACTCAGGAAGGCACATTGTACCTACATGTTCGGGGCAGGGGTTTATTTACACGTATATATATATACTTTTTGATGAAAATAGATGGCTCTCATACATAAAATAAATATAGAATCATCTGATTTGTAGCGCTATCCAACAATTGTAGTAGATTATAACACTTTTTATAGTGTAATCATGTGCTTTTAACTTCACCAATCAACTGCTGTTTCTCGAAAATGAAAAAGTCTTAATTAATTGTGATACTTTGTAGCTTGTTAACCCCCACCCAACCCCCAGGTTCTGTCCTTTCACCCGAGATAGCATATATTATCTAGTTTTTTGTTTTTTGTTTTGTTTTTTTTAATTTGACAAGATATTTTTGCACATATCCCCCACTCTCTACAATATGACCTTTACATTGGTCAAGTTCTTTCTCGCTTACTTCTTTGTATTCTGAATCAAAAAGACGAATCGTAACCTTAAGAAACAATATTATTAAGTTTTCTCACCCTTTGTCCATTAAAAAGAATGCATTTATCTAAATGTAATGTTAGAAAACTGTGATATTGAATTTAATGGTCTGTATAAATAAATGATCATCATCAAAATAGATATTTAAAGAAATTGCTCATGATAGTACGAATAGTTATATTTACAAGTAACATTTCTGTGTTATTTAGGTGTTAACAAGTATAACTCAATAAGAACATGTTTTCGTTTGTAGTTTTCTGATAGCAGAAATGCATCCTAAAAGATGAACGCCCATAGCCCCTTTGTTGGAATGCCTCAGACATGATAAATATTGTATAGCCCAGCTGTATGTGACGTTGAATTGATGCGATAAGACTTGTCATTCGGTTACTTAATTCCCATAGTCACAAACGTGCAAGTACTTATTAATTACAGGAAGTGACTGTTTTTACAGTCATTATATACGGCACTGTGAATTCATTCATCGTTCAACGTACCATAAAGTGGTAAGGCTCCACAGAGAAGTACAGGTGACGATCCCATGGTATAACTAGGCCCTCCGGTCACTGTACATTTGTACTCATTTCTGTTTTGTTACATTTAAAATCCTAATACCATAAGATATTGGGGTCAATGATGCACATAGCGTATCAAAATAACAAACATCAAACCCTGCCTTGTTCTAGTTAATTTATGATCATAGCTGATCTTTTCACTTTAAACCCACCCCCGCATTTTCATATGGTAAAATTTACAGCTACATACACACAATACACAAATTAATACACAGCTCTGACAATATTATATCCGTCTTGTCCCATGGACTGGACCACTTCAGTGTTTACAGCATAATCACATACCTGCATAATTGTCGAACACAGTGGGCACGTATTCCGTGGGGAACTTGTTAGTGGCGTAGCTCATTAACATACAAGTCTTACCCACCGCCCCATCCCCTACAACCACACACTTTATAAATTTTATGTCGCCCTCATTCGACATTCTAGCAACCCAGCCGAATGGACTCTACACAGTGTTGATATAACCAATCCACGTCCGCTTACTATTAATAGAAAATGTCTCATCTTAGGGATTACCACTCGATTGCGCAGACGCGATTAAATTGAACCAAAGCGCGGAAAATTGTGAACAGTTTGAATAATAACCAATCCCTGTTGTATGTCTGTCTGTTTGTTTGTTTTTTGCTTTGCTTTGTTGTTATTGTTTTTTTTTTTTTTTTTTTTGATTTGGGATATTCTTCTGTCACATATGAAATTGATCGAGTTTATTAATTAATTTTTTTAATAGTTTTTATGCCTCTGTAATTCAGTGATATATAGTTTTTGGTTTGTTCGTCTGTCTGCCTTCTCTCCGCAATTACCCATAACTTTAATTTTACATGTGTAATCCTCAATTGTGACAAGACGTACCTTTCTTTAAATTAATTGGGAGTTTAACTTTGTTTCGAAGAACTATAGCTTTTACCAAACTTAACCTTGGCCATAAATATAACTTTTAAACGGTTGGTGCTAGGGCTTTCAGATCACGTCGAATACGTCGTGTATATCTTGTGCAGGCCCGTAGGAAGCAGTTTCAGTTTGGAGGAGCACAGCCATACATTTTCAGTTAAGGTTGAGAGGGCACTACAAAAATTTTCCCTTAAAAAAAAATCCATCAGACGTTTTTTTTTAGGGGGCACAAGCATATACATGTAGTATCTAAGTTTACCATAGTAATCTATATATCGGCAAAATTATTGGGGGGGGCACCCCCCCCCCCCGGTTCCTACGGCCATATGTTGTTACAAGACCTTTCTTTGGATGCTAACACGTGACTGGTCTTGCGTACATGCATTTCACATAAAAGTATTCCTTGGAGAAGACTTTCCCTGCATGGGTACTAATATTTTTTACCGCTTGGCCTTTGGGGGGGGGGGGGGGGGATTAACATTGGTCATAACTTCTTATAATGCTTGGTGCTAGGGCTTTCATATATTTTTTTCATTTATTTATTCCGTGTGAGAAGAACTGTATTTGGGTATACCAACATAGCAAATATGCAATCATTTGCCTACGACAATTCATTGCAACAATCATCGTTTAATTTATTAGATATAGAATTCAGGTTAAACTATAATCTTGATGCCTTAGATAAATGGTCGAGTAAATGACTTTTAAGATTTAATCCATCAAAATCAAAGATTGTATTTTTCCCCCTTAAAAAATAGATTTGATTTACCAAATTTGTATTTCCAAGGCAATACACTGGAATTTGTATCGGTGCATCGCCACTTGGGTATATATATTAGTTGGTCTGAGTATATTGATAGTATTGTATAGAATGCATATAGGAAACGGGGGTTATTTATGAAATCAAAATTTTCAATAGGTACGAAAAACCTTTCTATATTGTATAAAACATTTATGAGACCTACACTCTAATACGCTTCAATTGTTTGGGATGACTGTTCTCTATCTGATGTGGAAAAACTTGAAAAATTACACTTATGGCCGCTAGGATAGTTACTGGTCTTCAAATACTAGCCTCAAAGGAATCACTTTATTTTGAAACAGGATGGGTATCTTTGAAGAACCGTCGTTACCTATAGCAAAAATGACCACAATGTTAAAAATTAATAGTCTCAAAGAAAAGAGAAAACATATCAAGATACAATACACGAAATAAAGATCAATTAAATATTCGAAGGGGTAGGTTGGAAATATTTTACAATCATTTGTATCTGATGCTGTTAAAAAATGGAATCTATTGGATACGGATACAAGAGAAGCCAGCTCAGTTAATTCTTCTCGTAAGATTATAAGTGTGATGTTTGCTTCACAAGCACCTTCTTATTTTTTATATGGTAAACGCATTACAAATATAATCCATACTGTGTACTGAACCAAGATTTATATAAAAGCAATTAATATCACTGACAATTCTTATTTGATTTAGACATCTTAGATGTACACCTACTACTCTGGGGCAATGAAAATCTTTCATTAGAGTTAAACACTGGCTTTTTTGCCGCTGTTCATAAATTCATAATTGAATCATGTAGGTTAATATATATATATATATATATAGAGAGAGAGAGAGAGAGAGAGAGAGAGAGAGAGAGAGAGACTATTTTATTTGTATACGGTTTTGTAAATATTTTGCACGACAATTATTATATGTGACATGTTTTAATAAAGAGAGAAGTAGTAAGTTGATAGAACTTGTTTCTGATCCTTTTGATTGTCAATAAAATATGTTCAAAACACAATTTTTGGTTTCATGACATCGACCTTGAAGTTTGATTTACTTTTGGAAAACTTTTAACATGGCCATAACTTGAACAATTTTAACCTTGGCCATAAGCTGTCGTTTGCGGGCATCATTGATTATCAAACACATCTTGTTTGTTGTTGTTTTCGTTTTTAATTTATTTTACACCCTCATTGGAGATTTGGGGGTATATAGTCCTTGGTCTGTCTGTTTATCCGTTTGTCCACAAAAACTTTAAGCTTGGTCATTAACTTCTGAACGATTGGTGCTGGGGATTTCATATATTTCACAGGTGCATTCCTTGTGACTTTGGGTATCGACATTTTTTACCTTGACCTTGGAGTCTGACCTACTATTGAAAAACTTTAACCTTAACCAAAGGTGCTAGGCCTTTCATATTTCACAAGTGCATTCCTTGTGATAAGACCTTTCCTTGGGTATCAACATTTTTGACCACGTGACCTTAACCTTGGCATTTGAATTATTTTTGAAAGACTCTTACCTTGGCCTTGAGGTACCACACAGTGGCCTGAGTGATTCACAAACATGCGTATATTTCGATCAAGAAAATATTTATCAGAAAATTGTATTTCCCCTTTATATCATATATCAAATTAAATAACGTGATTTTGAAAACTGAAGAAAGCAAAGTTTACAACCTCAGATTTCATGAAAACAGGGACTGATTAATTAAATTGAAGTTTGATATATGACCTTTAGCCCTAGTCATTGTATTCAGCAAACAATGCGTGAATATGAGGTCAATTCTGTTTTTAACATTTAAAATTACTGAAGACTGAAAAGGGTAATTGATGATAATAAATATATATTTGTATCGCTGTAGTTTTTATGGGTCTTTCAAAGGCCTTTAATTGCATGCTTACCACACCATGCACCTGTTGCTGCTGCAGAAAATAAAAATGTACAGCCTCTCAGACTCTGCTTTATCACTAATACAAAGTTATTTGTCTGAAAGGAGACAAGGTGTTAGAGTAGGGGGCATTTTTAGCACAATTAAAGACATTTATGAGGGTATACCACAAGGTTCTTTATTAGGTCCTTTTCTTTTTAACATATTTTTAAATGACATATTTAGCTTTGTTGATGAAGGCAGTTATATAATTATGCTGATGTCAATTCATTGTCACACTTAGACTCAGATATCACCAAAATTGTTAAAGTTTTATAAAAGGAAAGCTTAGACTTAATAAATTGTTTCTGAAACAACCAAATGAAAGCAAACCCAGAAAAAATTTCAGGAACTCTCAATAGAAAATAAAACCTGTAAAGAAAATATTATAGTTTACTTGGACGGTATTAATGTAAAATGTAAGGAAAAGGTTAAGCTCCTGGGTGTGACAATTGATAGTCAATTAAAATCTAATACTCATGCATATTTCAAACATTTGCAAAAAAAAGCAGTAAAACAGCTTAATGTATTAAAACGCGTCTACAGGTAATCACCTAACCAAACTGGACAAATTAACCATTTATTATTCTTTTATTTGAGCAATTTCAATTACTGTGGCATTTTTGTGGGGAAAATAACACAAGAACAAGATGTGTTTGTGAAAAACTGATGCCCCCTTATGACAGCTTATGGCGAAGGTTAAAGTTTCTCCAATGCAAGTTAAACTCAAGGTCAAGAAATAAAAAAAATGTTTGTACCCAAAGAAAGGTCTTAATTGTCTCGAGGAATATACCAGTGAAATAGAAATGCCCTAGTACAAACCGTTGAAAAGTTATGGCAAGGGTTAAATTTTTTTCAAAGTAAGTTAAACGGCAAGGTCAAGGTCAAATGGTGCTCAAGGGAAGGTCTTGTCACAAGTGATACACATGTTCGTGAAATGTGAAAGCCTAAAACCAAACGTTTAAATGTTATGGCCAATATTAAATTTTTTTAAAAGTAGGTCAAACTCCAAGGTCAAGGTCAATCCCAAAATTGTTGGTATCCAAAAGAAGGTCTTGTCACAAGGAATGTACATGTGAGGTATGAAAGCCCCAACACCAACTGTTCAAAAGTTATGGCCAAGGTTAAAGTTTTTTAAAAGTAGGTCAAACTTCAAGGTCAAGGTGAAAGAGTCAAAGTTGTTGGTAACTAAAGGAAGGTATTGTCACAAGGAATGCATATGTGAAGTATGAAAGCCCTAACACCAATTGTTCAAAAGTTATGGCCAAGGTTAAAGTTTTTCAAAAGTAGGTCAAACTTCAAGGTCAAAGGGTCAAAGTTGTTGGTAACTAAAGGAAGGTCTTGTCACAAGGAATGCATATGTGAAGTATAAAAACCCCAGCACTAACTGTTCAAAAGTTATGGCCAAGGTTAAAATTGTTCAAAATTGAAGTAGGTCAAATTCCTATGTCAAGGTCGAAAGGTCAAAGTTGTGGGTATCCAAAGAAAGGTCTTGTCACAAGGAGTAAACTTGCGAAGTATGAAAGACCTAGCACAAAATGTTCAAAAGTTATGTCCAAGGTTAAAGTTTTTTCAACAGTAGGTCAAACTCCAAGGTCAAAGTCAAAGGGTCAAAGGTGTTTGTATTTAGAGGAAGATCTTGTCACAAGGAATACACTTGTGAACTTTGAACGCCCAAGCTCCAACTGTTCAAAAGTTATGGCCAAGGTTAAAGTCTCATAAAATTTTGCAAAAGTGGGTCAAACTCCAAGGTCAAAAGGTCAAATATGATGGTACCCAAAGAAAGGTCTTGTCACAAGGAATACACATGTGAAATATGAAAGCCATAGCTCCGACCACTCAAAAGTTATGGGCAATGTTAAAGTTTTTGCGGACAGACAGACGGACGGACAGAGCAAAAACTATATGCCCCCGAATCTTCGATTACGGGGGCATAAAAATAGGGGGAAAATCCAAGAAAGGGCTCTTAGATTTACCTATAATGATCAAAACAGTATACCTATGAAGAACTATTTAATAATCAAGTCGGGACTACCAACATTAAAAATCATAAGATTAAGAACAATGGTTACAGAAGTGTTTTTTTTTTTAATTCTAAAAAATGAAAGCCCAGATTATCTGCTTTGATTATTCGCCTTTAAAGAAATTTCATATAATTTAAGGAAAAGCAACTGAGTTAGGTGCCAGGGTAAGATTAACTAAACATGGCCTACACTCTCTTAGATATGCGGGAGCCAAACTCTGGAATAAACTTCAAGCAGAAATTAGAAATGTCACAGCATTAAGTCAGTCCAAAAGTCTCCTAAATAACTGGAATGGCGATTCCTGTAAGTGTGGCTCCTGCAGATCTTAGATCGTAGAATTCAAAATTCAGTTATTTTTCATTTCAGTTTTCAAAATTTTCAAACCTCTGTTTTTATGTTCAGTATGTTTGCTCATTTTAATAAATAAAACTATCGTCATAGTTTACTATTTAAATCAAGTTAAAGTGTTATCTTATCTTAATACAACAAAACTAGATTATAGCCCCCTTAAGACACCCAACTGAAAATATCCCATTGCCCTGATAATATAAAAATCAAAAGCCTGAAAGGCTTCAATGGCATCGAACATAAAAAACAATTTCAAAAGTTCTTTGTGAATTTGATATAAAATTTTATAAACCGATGCCATAACAATGTACAAAACAAACACTAAAATAATTGAAAGATAAATGATTTTTTTTTGTTGGTATTTTTATAGAGCATATATATTTCAGCCCCACTATTAGACTTACTGTTGGTGATCTTTGTTGTGTGTTTGATTAATAAGAGCTTCTCCTTTATTAAAACATTCTTTGGCTAAAATAGAATAAAATATGCCAATTATAGTTAACATAATACTTTTAAGTAGATACCTATATCCCATTTTAGAAAATTTTACCACGTGTAATGGGAATCTATCTGAAGTCATAGTACATGTACATGTCCTATGTAAATGTACTAGCTAGTATGTTATACGTTATGTCTGTTTCTGTGTGTGTAAATTACATCCTATGTTCTGCATGTTATTGTCATTTTAACTATCTTATAGTGTACATGTATATCTGTCACTTGTGTACATGTATGTGTATGTTTTACTAGTCATGTCGGTCAAAAGCTCTAGAGAGCTTATATGGTGGTTTTAAAAAGTGTCATTTTTGTGTCGCCAGCAGAGTATAGCGGCACTAAGGGATCACTTTACCCGCTGTCTGTCTGTCCGTCTGTCTGTCTGTCATTTTTTTTTCCTCTACGATGCATCCCTCCTATTTTACAGAAATGTTTAAATATATTTTTAATGTATTTAATTTTCTTCATTTTTAATCGCTTACCACTTCATCTTCATGTTCCTGTTCAAAAATCAAATTACAATTACGAAACAGATTCAAATTCTAATAATATTTCTCTGTTTAGTAATATGTTGACGACCCAGATCCTTAATTGATAGCATTAATCACAGATTACATTTTTTAAATTATATATTATATGTAGTACACATGTATATTTTTGCACGTTTTGTGAAACTATGATTAAAATATAGTTAACGAATAAGGGTGGATTTAAAGGGGAAAGGGGGGCAGTCGACACCCCCTCCTATAATTTTTTTCAAATTAAAACAGTGGTTCCTTTTTTGAAAAGAAATGATTTATCGATAAAGGGGTTTAAATAAAAGACTTTATTTCTTTAATTTTGCATTTAGAAACTTCTGGGGGCTTAACTCCTAGGCGATACCGGGAAATCCCGGTCATTTTCAACAGCGATGAAGTCAATAAAAGTGTAATTGAGGCTAATCCCCATATTCCCCTAAGAGTGACGTGAAAATCAATGACAGCAGCTTTGAGGGGGCGGATCCTACGTTTTCGGATTTCTTAGTTAAAGCCTATAAAAATTTCTACACAAAGAGTCATATAAACTTTGGAGCACCTGTAATGGAACTCTTGACATTTGATCATGAGAACTGAGTCAAATGTCAAGGTCATTGGAAATCTTAGAGAAATTGCTGTTACAAACCTTTCTTAAATGACCTTGGCCTTTGACCTTGATCACAGGTTAGAATTATATTCAGGACATGTATGTAGATTTAGGTTTTGGTCTTCATCTTTGAAAGGTAAGATAAAACTTTTTTTCTTTTTTTTTAAGAAAATCTACAATTTTAATACACCTCAATCTCATCTGTCGGAACTATTTCCTACGGGGCACTATATAAACAAACATGTCACCGTGCCCGATGTTTATTTGTTTATTCAGAGCATTTTTGTGTTTTATTTATTTATTTTGCATTTCCCCCTAGTTTTCTTTTCCCATTCCAAATAATAGAAACATAAAAGAAGGTGGAAAGGCCTCTGATTGTTCACGGAACAATCAGTTTACTGGTTTTTGATCTTGATATTTGTATTTTATTTTATAACCGCATATGATATGGAAACCCCCCCCCCCCCTCCAAAAAAGAAAATGGAATGGAAATGCTTCTGAATAATTAGTATCCTAGCTTTAATTAAAAACCTGTAAAACTTGAGTTCCCTCCCTCAAAACCGCTGAAATTTATTTCTTCACCCTATTCTCTGGGGAAAATTCACAGATTAACTATAGTACCGCTAATTGCACTTTCTTAATCTAGAGTGTGTATACCTTTTCTCCGCATGCTTAATTTCTCTACCTTAAAATATTCGCAATTACATTAATTCTCATCATTAATCATGACGACAAAAGTAGTAAAAATGAATGTGGATATGGGTGAATGGATTTTGCTTTTTTTTCTTTGAAATATTTTTGTCAGACTCTTTTGCTGCATGTTTTTCACCTTGTTATTTCTAATAGGAATAAATAAATCCATTATATCAACTTTAATGTTACATAACTAAGTTTCTACAGTAATAAGGCATTTAAAGGCTCGATGATTTTTTGATTTTTTTTTCTGATCAATTTTTAAACCAAAATATGTAAAAACTAGATCTAGATGAATCAGTTTGACTCGAATGCCTCGCCAACACTCTTAATTTCGAACTTGATAACTAATGATAATTTACAAGAAAGAGAAATCATGTAGCTCAACGATAGGAAGTGCAATTTTTTCTTTTAAACTTGGAAAAAAAAAGAATAAACCACGTACGCCGGGTTTAAAGTGTTAATAGACTGGTACCCTGACATTGGTTAACGGGCGCAAGCGCCCAGAAAATTCCTAGCGGCAGCGAATGGAATCAAGGGCAGAGAACCAGTGCTAATGTGTTAATGCATTCGAAACTTCTCGGATGTCTAATACACTCAACAGGAAGACATTCGAGAAGTTCCGATTTATTGTAAAATGTGTACACTTCCGTTTATTATATATTCTGGAGATGGGAGTCAATCAGGCAAGTGATAAACAATTGTGAATAACTTACTTTGACAGCATGAGGCGAGTGGGCTACTGGCTTAGTGAGAAAAAGAAGAAGAGGCTTAATTTTGAGGACCAGATTTCAACATTCAGGTATGCTTTCTGCATCGTTTGCACAGTGAGTCATTGTTTATTTTTGTGTTAGCAATAACACAAGGAACTGAAACAGGTGCCCGGAAATCTGTGCCTGATTTTCTCTTCATAGGCAAGTTATATTATAAAGAAAAAAATACAATAATCTGATTATTATAATATTAATAGTCAGATGATTTTTTTTTAAAAAGTATTCAATAATAACCAAACATTGGAAACATTCCAAGATAGTACTGGATTTTACCGGTCTAAAACTTTAGACTAAATATTTTATTAGACCTACTCAGCAAAAACCTTTAAATACAATGTCGACCATTATTGTGCAAACTTGTAAAATCCTTTTTCTTATGTAATATAAATGTTGATCTCTGTGAATGTGATATGATATAGAATTGTTTTAGTCTTATGGGCTAACAGGCAAACAATTTTAAGTATTACACAGAATTATATCTAAAGCTGTTAACACTTGTTGTTTATTCTGTCCCCACTAAATTAATACCAGTGAGTCCACTAGGTTGAGAAGTCTAATCACTGACCTTTTCTGTGTGTGTACTCAGTGAAGATAGACGTTGTGTAAATCAATGAAGTGAAGAAAGATTTTACCTTTATATTACTGTAAATCACTTTTTATTCAGAAGAACTTTATTTTTTAATTTTTTTTTTAAATAATTATAAAGAGCAGTAACCAAAATTAGTGTTTAAAAAAATATTGTCTTGCTTATAAAATGTTAGTAGGGTATTGCGAAAATTTCGTGATCCACAGGTGTGACGGTATATGTCAGACTGTATAGCAATGCTTTTATTGTGTGTGTGTGTATTTTTTTTTTTCTTTTTTTTTTTGAAATCCTGCAGTAGAGTTAAGGTGCACAATAGAAATATTGGCAATTTTTTATGATAAAAAGTACATTCTTAATCAGGATGGCAATTCTTTTTAACATTTTACAGATATCACTGATGTCTATAAAATAGATATTTAATTATTAGAAAAATATAATATGTTTAGTTACTATACATTGAAGATAATAAGATTTTCTATTTAGAGTTGTCACATGATGTGTCAGTCACATGTTTTTGGCAAATATACTTGCAGTATTAAGATTACCTATAAATTTCAGTAGTGCAAGGACATAACATGCATATTTGAATTCTAAGTTTCTTTTATAAATAGTTTCAACACCCATTGTAGTTTGTGCAAAAATCCTATATGGATTCTACTATTTAATTGTTAAAATTATAAGACCACATCCTAATAGTAAACTGCATTAATAGAAATAATTCATTTTTAAGATTTCACCAGCATGGCAGCATTTTCCAAATAGCTTAAACTTCTAAAATTTATGTGAAAAACTTAATTATTGTGATCCAATGAGTGTATTCCCTTACCACTGACATTAGATCAATTTATTAAGACCCTTACACTACCCTCCAGTGTAACTGCATTTAAATATACAGCAGCATCACTTAACTAGGGAATGTATGGAAAATAAATGAATAAAATCATAAAAAAAGACATCTTAATCCAATTGAATGGCCTTTTGAATATCTACAATGATATTTTATTTCATTATAAAATACATTTTTTGTTATAAAAATATTACTTGATCCACCTCTCACTGCATACATACTGCGTCAAATTTTGTGGAATGACATCACATCGACAAGTGCATGTAGTTGAATGCTTCAAACAGTTTAGAATTGCAGATCATTTTGTTTTGTGGTATTTTTTAAAATTGTTAGTTTTGTGTGATGATGTAATATTTAATATTTCCTGTATAAATTAAACTCCACCTCCTTTTATGTAGCCTTAATTTGTGCTGTGCCATAAAGATTAATCTTAAGATTAATTGTGACTTATTGCTTATATTATAAGACACAACAAATTTGAAAATGAGAAATCATGAAAATTTTGTCACATTCATTCATTAATTTGTAATTACTGGTAGGTTATTTTATATTTTTTTTTTCTATAAATACATATAGGTGTAGACTGGATGTTTAATAATTAGTAGGATGTTCAAAAAGAAGCATTAATTTTCCTTAAAAAAAGAGAGATAGTTTAACAAAGCATATATTTCAATGCTCTGACATTTATTAAAGATTCATCATTGTCATAGTTTCAAATATAATCAGCATAGTAATGGCCATGGAGCAGAAATAAAGGTCAGGGTTAGAGGTAAATAATATACTTTACTTGTCTTCCAGAAAATGCAAAATTATGTCATTTCACAAAGATATTTCACCCTTCATACAGGTGTTGAAATTATGGTTCAAAATATCAAGCTTTTCTAGGTTGATTTACTTGTGATTAGTGTGTGAAACACAGTGTACTTGACTGTGTTATAATGCATGATTACACTTCCCAGAAATATATGAAGTAGGAGGCTTTATATATTTAGGAAAAAAAAAAATCTCTGAAATATTGGAAATAAGAATATATATTGTACATGTATAAGAAATTCAGTAATCTTTTTAATCATGAAATATGGGATAAAGTGCTAGCTATTCAAATGTATTATAAGTGCACTTATGGCACTTTCAAAGTTGGAGAATGAAATCCAGGTAAGCAATAAGCACTGACAAATTCAATGCCTCCAAGTTCTTAAGTCAGAACTCAATTTTAAAAGTGTGACACAGTCTTAAATTAATATCTAACACACTTATAACCCACAAAAAATATTTAGGACAGCAGAGAATTAAAAAAAAGTTCCTGTATGATCATGTCACAGGATTTTGAACTTTGGGCCACCATAAATGATACCTTAGAATGTTACATTTTCAAAAAAAAAATGTTTGATGATGCTTAGCAGTTTGAGTATATTTAAAATTTACAAAACTACAGCTGTTACTTTGTAATGCTTCTGAAGAGTTGAATACCTGTGAATTTTTAAAAGTTTAAATTCTGTATAACAACTGTCAGAAGAAAGTACCAAAAGCTCTATCATGTCTATAGGTAAAATGTAGTAATTACACATTACATGTACTAAGAAGAGTAATACATTTTATAAAATGGCTATTGTGGTGGTAGTTGAATGATGGAGCACTTTGTAATCAGTCTTACTGTCATTGTATCTTTTATTAACTGATGTAAATATAGTTGAGTCTTTAAACATATTTATACAGCCATGTCTTTGGCTCTAAACTTGATCAAGACAGATGAACAACAGAGATAAGTACCACCCACACAAACTTTACATCTCTTCCATTATACTCTTCTGACATGTTGGCCAGGCATTGTGCAATTTAAAAAAAAAGCTACTGTATTCATGTTATTGTACAATGATTCAATATATTAAATATGTGTTTGTGGTGGCCAAATGCAAATTCTTTAGACTGGAAATGTTGTCTTGAATATATTAACAGACCGGTATTTACTAGCATCCTGAATTAATAATATTTTTAATATGAATAGAAATTATTCTGCCATATATCAGTATATAATTGAGTATTCGTTTTATTAACCCTGATTGTAGTACCTGCAAGTTATATATGTATAATATATAATTCAAATTGTCCACAGAGCTCAATGAGCATGTGTGTAGAATATTATGTATTATTGTATATATACTATTCAAATTATTTTAAGCATAAAAATTTTTAATAGGGTTTTCCATTACATATTTTACCAGCTTTAGCTTTAGAAATATAACTAGTTCCTGAAGTAATAGGGTTGATACCAGCAGTCATGGTTGTTTTGGCTTTTATAGATTAGCATTTTAACCTCACTTCAGTATGTTTTCTGAAAATTGTTTTGGAGTCCACCCTCTTTTGGGCAACTAAGGAGAGAGTGAGAAATATAAAGAAATCTACCTTTACCATATGCTGCAAAGATTACAACATTCAGAGGAAAACAAATTGATCTAGAACATGAAGTACCCTGTGATTTCACATTAAAATAAAGTACTCTTCAATATAAACAAAGTTTTTGTCCAACTACAATCTACTTCTTAAAGAATTGAACATCTGTGTATATGTAATACATAAGTAATACAGAGAGTCATCACAATGGAATTGAATTGCTGTATGTCTATAATTTCAGAGATGCAGGGATTGAACTTGTTAAAGTAAGTCGTCTTCATCATCTTTATCTGAAGGAAGTTGATATTGACGTAAAGTGCATGACACATTTCTTTTTTCTTACAAAGTACATGTATGAGAAAGGGTTTTTAACCTTGATGCATTCTTTTATCTCTCATTTATCTCTGTTGCCAGTCTGAATATAAACAAGTGTCCTTGTGTTATGTTGTAATTTAGATAGGATATATATGGATAGCATTATAATATGTTAAATCTATTGAGAGCTATATTGTATTGACATGAACCCTCATGATCCTTAAATGACAAAGTGGTTTATACTGAGAGAATAACCTTGTTCCAAAATGCTACTAGTTTATGTGTTAAATGAACACTTCCATTGCTTTCTAAGTTGGACGTTGACAAGAGCTTGGAGCCTCAGGGACCATTTGACCTCATTCTCCATAAGTGTACCCTACTGATGGTAGATGCTGAGGATGGCGATGTACAGTCACTTACAGCCATCAACAACATCAAGGTGAAGGAACAATCAAAACATCAAAGTAAATATAGCTGTATCAATTAACACTGGAATAATATCAGTATAAAAACAACCACTGCCAATAACCTCTACCCTCGAAGAACAACCAGTGCTCAATATTAAAGCACGTCCAACCGACTCAGACTTGAGTAAAAGTTTGGTCTAGTTTATTTTGTGTCAAGGTAGCCCTACTGGTTGTGTAAATATACCTCAAAGTTCAAATAAAGCAAAACTATTATTTAAGGACTTTTAAACATGCTAATAAGTTTATTCAATCATATCAATGAACATTAAGATAATCATGAAAAGATTTATTTTGAAAAAACTTTACACGTTTTATTGTACTAGAATACTTACCGTTTGAGAGACATTATGTTGAAAAAACTTAGATAGGTAGTCATTTTGATGTAATATGAAAGTCAATAGTTAAATGATATATAACAACTTCAGGACAATATATAAATAAAAAAAAAAGTCAGAACCACTGAGATAACATATCAATAAAGAAGTCAGTACCACTGAGATAACATATCAATAAAGAAGTCAGTACCACTGAGATAACATATCAATAAAGAAGTCAGTACCACTGAGATATCATATCAATAAAGAAGTCAGTACCACTGAGATAACATGTCAATAAAAAAGTCAGTACCACTGAGATAACATATCAATAAAGAAGTCAGTACCACTGAGATAACATATCAATAAAGAAGTCAGAACCACTGAGATAACATATCAATAAAGAAGTCAGAACCACTGAGATATCATATCAATAAAGAAGTCAGTACCACTGAGATAACATATCAATAAAGAAGTCAGTACCACTGAGATAACATATCAATAAAGAAGTCAGTACCACTGAGATAACATATCAATAAAGAAGTCAGAACCACTGAGATAACATATCAATAAAGAAGTCAGTACCACTGAGATAACATATCAATAAAGAAGTCAGTACCACTGAGATAACATATCAATAAAGAAGTCAGTACCACTGAGATAACATGTCAATAAAGAAGTCAGTACCACTGAGATAACATATCAATAAAGAAGTCAGTACCACTGAGATAACATATCAATAAAGAAGTCAGTACCACTGAGATAACATAAAAAAAGTAAGTATCACTGAGCTGAACTCAGGGTGTTTAAGGTGAACATTTTTGTCTTATAAAATCTAGTTTATGCAACATCAAATAATAAAGTTAACGATTTTTTTTCCTTCGATTAATTGCCACATCAAATTCAGTGTCGAACTAAAGCATGCAGCTACTAATGCAAGTATATTATCACTGCAAGAAAGTAAAACAATGTCATCCAGATAGGATCATAAGCTTGAGGATATCAGATAAGCTAAGGGCTGTGTCATTGACTTCTTTACTAATATCATTCAACTTTGAACTGTTGTATTATGTCTATGAATCACTATTGATTGTCTGGCATTTAGTACATCTACTTAAGTAGCTAAGATGTATAGAAAGAAAACATTTACAAATGCAAATGTTTAAAATAGCAATCTTGTTAATGTATGTGTATTTAAAATGGTTAAAATGATTTATCATAACAAATACTTTGAAAAAAGAAATTCTATATATATTGATATTTATATTCCCATCCATCTTTCACATATTCTTGCCATCACAACACCTCCATTATTTTGAGTGGTGGCCAAAAAATTTCTTTTTGCAATGAGTGACCATGCCAATTTCATGTGTAGTAAGATTTTGGAATTTTGATTTTGGCTCCAGGAGTCCTTGAGAGCCTTAAAGGGTGTCAAAGAGTGGTATCTTTTGTTAAGGACATACGCAACGTACCTTACCTACTGATAATTTTTCAAGATATTCTTAATTTAAGATTTTAGTGCCATCAGATGTTCATAGATAAAAAAATCAGCATACATTACCAGGGGTCTTGAAAAGATATCAATTGATGAAAATTCTTGTATAATTCAAAGAAAAATACACAAAAATTAGTAAACATATATTGTAGATGTTTTGTTTATCCAAACTTGTTTAAGAAGAAGTGCACAACAGCATATATAGACACTAAAATGTAGCACACAGTTCCTTTAAGTATTGGAACTCTTCAACTCCAGGGAAAAAGACAATGAAGTTCAAACTACGTTGCGTATGTCCTTAAACAGGTCTGGGCGGCCTCCGTTTTTGGAGGATAGCTAAATTCAATATGGCGGCCAAATTTTTTACCATATAAGGAAACCGCGTTGCATTGTGGGATAGTTTATCCTCCGATTTCAGAGGATAATACAGGTAATTTTCAAAGGCCTCGTGCCTACCTTTAATCAAAAAGTGCAAGCACCAGAGTACATGCAAATAAAAGTTCAAACATTAAACTATCGATTGTATGTGGCGATTTGAGATTCTATGTCTAGATATTTTGCAATTTATTTTCAAAGTTAGCACTTTTTGCGCTCCATTATTACTGAATATTTCTCGTTATTTTGTTTTATTTTTTATGATTTTTCCCTATTTAGACAAACAAAAAAGGACTTTGATATTTCTTTTATATTTTCTTTCAATATAAAAAAAGGAAACACGAAAGGAAACGCATTTTAAGCGTATTTAAAACACAAAATATACTCTGCCTTATAATTTAAGCAAATAAAAGTATAAACAGATAGATTGAATGAAAAATTATAAAAATAAATAATTAATTTGAATAGCATAAGTAAATAAAATAAATAAATTAACATGTTTACTAAGAAATTAACATATATTCATACAGCCATGTGTATACATAAACAAATAAAATATTACAAAGTGATGTGCTTAAGAATTATTAAATGAAAGAAATAATAAATGATTAAAATTAATTTTTCAAAAAAAAAATTGTTTATCAAAATTTCCAAACTGCTTATCACATAATTACGGTACTGGAAAATCAGCGTGGTTAAAATTAACCTCAGTCACAGGCAGGTAAGTGCAATAATTGTTTTCCAAGCTGTATACCGAATAACTGATTGACGGCAAATTACAAAAATATAGTTATATTGATTTAATATCTGGAATTATTCATCATCATATGAAATTGTACCTTTTATTTGTTTTGATTTCAAAATCAGCGTACGGTTCATAAATGCAAGAGTTGCTGTTATTTGTTTGGTTAAGAGTTAACTGCCCTTAGTTTTTAAAATTCCGGTAGGTTGCAAGACCGCTATCCTCTGTTTTCAGAGGATAAAATCTATCCTCCAAAAACAGAGGCTGCCTAGACCTGTTAAAAGTAGAAATTTAGTTTCTGTGATATCATTCCTCAGAATGTTTAGGGTTAGATTATTATACCCCCGCTCCGAAGGAGAGGGGGGTATACTGTTTTACCCTTGTGTGTCTGTCTGTCTGTCTGTGTGTCTGTCTGTCCATAACAAATTTTGGTCGCAGTTTTCTCAGCATCTACTCATTGCAGATGCTTGAAATTTTAGCACAATCTTTGTTTAGGCATGCCATATGGTGGGATTCATTTTTGTATGAATCCGATGTCAACTTCCTGTTTATCCGTGCGTCTGTCCGTACCACACATACCAAACTTTGGTCGCAGTTTTCTCAGCAACTACTCATCACAGGTGCTTGAAATTTTAACACATTCTTTGTTTAGGCATGCCATATGGTGGGATTCATTTCTGTACAAATCCGATGTCAACTTCCTGTTTATCCGTGCATCTGTCCGTACCATACATAACAAATTTTGGTCATAGTTTTCTCAGTAACTACTCATCGCAGATGCTTGAAATTTTAGCACAATCTTTGTTTAGGCATGCCATATGGTGGGATTTATTTTTGTACTAATCCAGTGTCAACTTCCTGTTTATTCATGCGTCTGTCCGTACCACACATAACAAACTTTGGTCACAGTTTTCTCAGCAACTACTCATCACAGGTGCTTGAAATTTTAACACACTCTTTGTTTAGGCATGCCATATGGTGGGATTCATTTCTGTACAAATCCGATGTCAACTTCCTGTTTATCTGTGCGTCTGTCCGTACCATACATAACAAATTTTGGTCGTAGTTTTCTCAGCAACTACTCATTGCAGATGCTTGAAATTTTAATACAATCTTTGTTTAGGTATGCCATATAATGGGATTCATTTTTGGAACAAATCCAATGTCAACTTCCTGTTTATTCGTGCGTCTGTCTGAAACATACATAGCAAATTTTGGTCGTAGTTTTCTCAGCAACTACTTATCACAGATGCTTGAAACTTTAGCACAATCTTTGTTTAGGCATGCCATATGTTGCGATTCAGTTTTTACAAATCCGATGTCAATTTCCTGATTATCACTGTCTTTGTCTATAACCGAACTTGTGTATTCACATCAGAGTGGGGGTATTATTAGTGAGCATTGGCTCACAGACTTCTTGTTTATAGCTGACCAATACCTTGTTCTGATAAAGATTCTGACTGAGGTTCATTTGTGGATCAAAGAATGTTGCATCTTTAATTAAAAAAATGTATTATTTTTCTGATGTAACTCAGGTCATTCAACTGGATCAAAAGTATTTTGGCAATTGAGAGAAAGATGTGTTTTTTTTACCCAGCTATGAGTAACACAAAGGGTTTGTGACATGTAGGGAGGTTATTTAAGGGGAATAATGCTAGGTAAAAAAAATCAGCATAATAATCGGGTGACATTAAAGGCCCAAGGGCCTATTGTAAATGTTCATTCCTGACAATAGTGTATAGTTCAACATTGTAAAGCTTAAAGAAAATGAATTCAAACATACATGCCCATGTAGTAATAATGCACGTATAGTCAAATTTTTTAAATCCTTTTTTTTTTAAAATCATGTCTCAAATTTACAAGCACATACAATGCATTTTCATGCACTCGTAGCCACATTCACACACAAACACAAACTCACACAAACAAACAAAATTTTGATTTAGGCCTTAACATTTAATTTTTGACTGATTTTGTAGAAATACATATCTAGTCATCCAGAATGTATCCTGGTGGATTCGTTTGAATCGATAGAGAAGTTAATTGACAGACACGAGCAATACAAGCTGCTTCTTCAGTGCAAAACTCTTCTTAATTCAGGTATTTAGTCATGACTACTGTTGTAGCCTTAAAAATTGAAGGAATGACCTAGTGTTTCTTATGAATTTGTGAACATGTATACATGTTATCATTTGGAAACATTGATTTGCTCATATTTTGTTCTATCAAAGAACACTTGACCTTGAGACAAATATATGAAGCCGAAGTGATTTATTTATAGAATCTGAAGTATGCACACCTACTTTTGTTGAATTGTCCACAAAAGACATAGAAACGAATAAACAAAAACTTAAGGAGGCTGATGTCAAGTACCCTTTTGGTAAGTGATACTCAAATAAAATTAAATTCAGTGAAATAAAAATAGCAAGATAAAGAAAATCTCACTCTGAGGTCTACAAGATATATATATATAAGGATTGAAGTGAAGGTGTATTTAAGTACAGTTGAACTTCGGTATCTCAAACACGAATACCAGTATCTTGAATACAGTGGATATGTCAAAATTATTGGAAAGTCCTAAGCCCTTTTTCTTTAAGTATTTTACCATCAATATCTCGAACCCACAGATATCTCAAAGTTTTTTTCTCAGTTTCATCGAATATGAGATGAGGTTTGACTGAATATTATAGTTCTCAGACGGCGACAATAAAATAATGTAATTTTAGAAATTCCAAATTATTTGTCATATACTTTTTCAAGACTTAAATGAACAAGTACAACAGTATAACAGTGATAGAAGTATATTTTCTAACAACCACTTTAAAGTCATATCCCAGTAAAACATGGGGTTAAATGTGTGTACATTGTAACAAACATGATTTCATTTTAGTGTGCAAACCAATTGTGGCCCACGGATCTTCAGCATCTCATAAGGTGATCATTGTAGAGAAATATAATCAAATCATACTCACAATTTATTGGATTAATGCAACTGCTATACCTATTGCATGTGGATATCTAATATTTCTGTGATGCAAGAGTTAAAGTTCTTTGTTTCATTGCAGATGGCAATAATTTTCAATGACAGGGGGCTAGATGATATAGATCCACCATGTGTGGCCCAGACATTTCATAATCACAATGCAGTCTTATATAAAGTTTTTGTCATAGGAGAAAAAAATCACATTGTGGAAAGACCCTCCATTAAAAACTTCTCATCTAGGGGTAAGCAGAATTCAAGAAGATATTTTCCTTGTTTGGTATTTCTCAACTTTTTCTTTGATGTCTTTTTTGAGTTGAATGTATTATTATTTTTGTAGATCAGTCAACAATTTACTTTGATTCAAATGATGTTTCAAAGCCAAACTGTGCAAATTTTCTTACAGAGGTAAGACTTTAGGACCAAAAGTAAAAGAAACCAAGCAGAAACTAAGAAAAGGAATTCATTATAGATTTGAACTGCATTTTACCCCTTTAGTTATTTTCCACACCTAAAGCTGTATTCTACCCAGCTAACAAAGAGCTTACCCATTAAAAGGCTGTGAAATCATGCTTTTTACCTGAATCTTTCATGGATCACATGAGAATGTTTTCTTTAATAACTATTAACAGCTTGATGAAGAAGATTTGCTACGAACCCCTATCACACCCAACAAACAGATTCTGAGTGATCTAGCAAGGGCTGTCAGACAGGAACTGAAGATGGAACTGTTTGGAATTGATGTCATCATTGACTGTGATACCAAGAAGTATGCTGTGATAGACATCAATGCCTTCCCAGGTAACATACAACAAAAAGTATGCTGTGATAGACATCAATGCCTTCCCAGGTAACATATAACAAAAAGTATGCTGTGATAGACATCAATGCCTTCCCAGGTAAAAGATAACAAAAGTATTCTGTGATAGACATCAATGCCTTCCCAGGTAAAACATAAAAAGTATGCTGTGATAGACATCAATGCCTTCCCAGGTAAAACATAACAAAAAGTATGCTGTAATAGACATCAATGCCTTCCCAGGTAAAACATAACAAAAAGTATGCCGCGATAGACATCAATGTCTTCCCAGGTAACACATAGCAAAAAGTATGCTGTGATAGACATCAATGCCTTCCCAGGTAAAACATAACAAAAGTATGCTGTGATAGACATCAATGCCTTCCCAGGTAAAACATAACAAAAAGTATGCTGTGATAGACATCAATGCCTTCCCAGGTAAAACATAACAAAAAGTATGCCACGATAGACATCAATGTCTTCCCAGGTAACACATAGCAAAAAGTATGCTGTGATAGACATCAATGTCTTCCCAGGTAACACATAACAAAAAGTATGCCGCGATAGACATCAATGCCTTCCCAGGTAAAACATAACAAAAAGTATGCCGCGATAGACATCAATGTCTTCCCAGGTAACACATAACAAAAAGTATGCCGCGATAGACATCAATGTCTTCCCAGGTAACACATAGCAAAAAGTATGCTGTGATAGACATCAATGCCTTCCCAGGTAAAACATAACAAAAAGTATGCTGCGATAGACATCAATGCCTTCCCAGGTAACACATAGCAAAAAGTATGCCGCGATAGACATCAATGCCTTCCCAGGTAAAACATAACAAAAAGTATGCCGCGATAGACATCAATGTCTTCCCAGGTAACACATAGCAAAAAGTATGCTGTGATAGACATCAATACCTTCCCAGGTAAAACATAACAAAAGTATGCTGTGATAGACAAGTGTTGGGTGGGATTTAATCTCATCTATCTTCCTGTTTGCATGTCTTTCCATTCATCCTCCTGTCAGTATGTAAAAAAAAACTTTAAATTGGTCATGATTTTTAAATAAGAAAAGATATGGCTTTCATATTTCACATGTGCATTAAATGTCACAGGCCTTTCTAAATATACCTTGGCTTTTGACCTAATAACCTTAAAGTTTGATCAACTTTTCAAAAATTTCAACATTGGTAATGAGAGAAGCTAGAGGTTTCATATTTCAACATGTGCATTACATGTGACAAGACCTGAATTAATTTTTTTGACCGTGACCTTGAAGTTCATGTAGTTTTCAAAATTTAATCTTGGCCATAACTTTGCATCAGATAATATTACTTCAAAAATTTAACACTTTTTTGTATGATGGAAAGACAACATTGAATAGACAAGACAGTTACAATATGCCACAAGTCACTGCACCCAAACCAATAAGGCTCCAAAAGTGGAGAGACTACAATTCTCTGAATTTGCTTGTTCTCATGATTTTTCACTTTAAATTATTTGTTGGTAAATCTTCTAATTTATAATCTTCCTTTTTTTTTTGGTGATTTGGTTTTATTTTTGCAAATACATGTGTATATTTGGTTATTTTCTTTCTAGGTTATGAAGGTGTTGATAACTTCATGGAAATTTTATGTGACCTACTTAAATCTCTGATGAACAGACGGGATAAGGTGAAAAGTGAGAATGAACAAATGAGCAGAAAAAGACCAGAGAGTTCAGAAAAAGGTGACTCAAAGAAACCTAAGCTGCACAATGGTGATAAAAATGGCAACTCTGAACTGGAACCAGCAACTTGTTTTGAAAGAAACCCCGACATCATTGAAGGTGACATATTGTTACCATGGAAACCACCAATAAATGCACTTTTAGAACATTAGACATTACACTGAAGTTATTAAGGGAACAAATTAAACACCTTTGAATCTTTACACAAAGCCATTTAGGGTTGGGGGAATACCAACAATTTATGTAATAAATATGATCTCTCCTTCCAAGCATAGTGGGTTTGTTCACTGTATGCATTACAATGAAAACCTTAATTACATTGTATTTCAATACTTGAATTTGATAGCAATAAGCAAATATCAGTAATAAAACACTAATGGCTTCCACGAGTCAACCAGGATTATTATACCTCAGAAGTTGTGTTATTTCTTACATGAAAAGTAATAATACTTAGTTTGCCCATACTTTTGCATTGATTACAAAGAACTTAAAAAGCCAAGGTTTATAATGATATACAGATAGGAACAAAAGTACCGAAATTCTGTTGAAATAACTTAATGAAAAGGAACTTTCAGCTTCCAAGTTATGACAAAATGAAATTATTTCATATAAATTAATTTTCACTTTTGGTAGAAATTTCATTTAGGGGGAGGGGGGTTGTTTAAAGCACTTTGTTAAGATCTGAAGACAAAATTCTAGTCCTTTTTATTTTTAAGCATTTCTGATGAGTGCTTAAAGGCTTTGAAGAATAAGAGTTTTATTTACACAGGATATTGATGGTCATAGGAAAGGGCATTGTTTTTGTATATATTAGATTATTCACTTTTAAATGTTTTAAGGATTAGGTGTTTTTACAATATATGAATATACATATAGGTGAATGGGAATGTGTGTTATAATACATGTCTTTGCTGATCTTTATAACTAAAAAGCAATAAGAACTTTACCAGTATTGTAAATCGTTCCTTGTATTGTATCATATTCTAGGGTAGTAGAGTCGGCCATCATTAGAACATTGTTATTGAATCCATTTAGGAGGGGTTTATCAAGAAGTTTGTGGACAGGTGCGATAAAAATCAACACTGTGATACTATCGATACAAAATTAATAAGGTTTGGAAAACAACAAAAGATTAAGAAGTTTTGAAAATTTCACTTTGATACATTGATAATTTGTCAACTTAACCTCAAATACAAAAGACATTATATGGTCACCCAGTCCTTTATGACGTTTGACAACATCATTGCTTCTCAATATCCGTTTCCTCTGTCTCTATACGCTTGTATTTATGAGATTTCCTAATGTTAAGTAAAGACTAAAAACCTGTCTTATTTATGTGATTTACAATGTCATAAGAGCTGGTTTTAATGCATAATATAGTAAATGGATCTGTGCAAAAGGGAAAGACTCTTGCTTAATTGACTGTGTCAGATTAATTTATTTGTCGGGGTTAAATTTTTACCACACACAAACGTCACTTTTCGACGTAACTGACTTTGGACACCCGGACTACGAATTGGCATTAAATGTGACTGTGTCTCTTCTCATTATTTTTTATGGCATTGAAAGAGAGGTAATCTGGATGTATTTTATTTCTTTCTAGCCTGTTTAAAAAATTTCAAACAAAAATAAACAATAAACAAAATATACCCCAAAAATAATAATAATAATTAAAAAAATAAACAATAAATAAACAAAAAAAGTACCCCCACCCTCACCATTTCTGATGTCATTTTAACCCCTTAATATTTGAGCATTCTATATAAAATTTACAATAAATTTTAATGGAAATCACAGAATGAGGTAAAAATTTGCAAACTTTATGAAACATTGTGTCACGCTACATGAGTGAACTAATGTGATTATTGCATATCAAAATATATTTTTTCTCAGGTAGAAATATGTCGTATTTTGAGGTTGCGCCGCTTGGTCATACTATTGCTTACAAAAACATTGACAATTTATTTAAAAATAAGACGTGTGATTTATAGTTTATTTTGTAGATAGAAAAGATGATGCTTACGAAATGTGTAAAAATTCATTGATGTAACTTGAGCAGTTTTAATTTAATGGCACTAATTCACAAACTTTTTGATAAACCCTTGTATAATTATACAGTTTGTTGACTTATGCTGTGTAAGCTGTTTAATTGTTTTAGATAGAAAAAAACAAATTTTGTAGACAATTTCCATACCTCCAAATCAGTGTTATAGTTGTATTGTATACTATAAATTACATTATATTGCTGAGAACACTTAATTGAAGCACTGTTTTCTGAAAATCTTCACTTAGCAAAGAAAAAGCCAATTTATGACAAAGGAAAATTATTATTATTACTTATACAGTGAATGAAAAGTAAATATTGAGAATACAAATGTAATGTTGTCATCTTAATGAAAACAAAGCAACATGGAATGTGTTATTTACAGTAATATATACATAAGAAAGGTGACACAGAAAGAAAAATGACATGACATTCAATAATGGTAAACAGTTCATATTTTTTTGAAAAGGTTAAAAAAATGTTTAGAATAAGCACCTATGTAGTAATAAATACATGCTTATATAAGGATTTCAGAAATTGAATTACAAATAAACTGAATATGATGAATTGTGGATATAAATCAGTTATTTTGATTTTACATACGAGTTCATGGAAACCTTGTTTTAATGTGACTGTGTAGATTATATATCTAGTTATTTACATACTCTGTGCCTAGATGATCAGGAAAATCTCAGAAATTTCCTATATATTTATAGAATGTAATGTTAATGTTATTTCTTTATGGATTAACTTTTTTTAAGCAAAAATTCTGTGCTCTTTATTATATCCATGATAACATTTTCAATTTGTATTTATTTTGGACAAGGAATCTCTGTTGTTATTTCAAATACAGCCAGGAAAAAGCTACGAAATCTTCATTATTATTAAGGTGTGGGGTATCAATTCTTCTCATTAATCGGCTTTTTATGTTTGGCAATGTCTGGTAGATTTGTGAAAAGTACAGGTAAAAATTGTAAATCTTTCCAAAGATTCTAGAGAAATACATGTATATTGCAAGAGTTCAGCGTGTTTTTCCATGAGGCAAAATAATTGTTCTTTATAGTAAAAATTATGTCTCAATATTTCACAAAAGGCCTTGACCAGTAGGAGAATTCTTTAAATAAATTAATAATTGTAAAGAGAGAAGCCAATTAAAGTTGTAAATGTTTGAGGATCTGTCATTTACATGTACAATGCATCAGTACACAGAGATTTGTGTTTGGCTTGAATTGAATAGAATAAATTACAATGCTGTTGACATGGTTGATTTTACACGTTTTAATTTTTCTCTTTTAGTCTGTTTTTAAGATTTATTTTGATAAGATTTCAGTGTCATGGAATTGAACACAGCTTTAGACAAGTCTGATATATTTACTTTATTTTGAAATTAATATAAATGCTATTGCTCAAATTCCCTATACAGAATTAAAAAAAATTGCTTGATTTATGTATCATTGAAATAAAGACAACCAGTATCTATGATATTTTACAACAGAGCTATACTATATATTGTTATGACTTTATTATTACGGTGTTTTTAGATTTTTATTGTTTGATATTGCATTTATTGTGATCATGTGACACACCCATGTGATGTGAAGAGAAGAACATTACAGGCTGTATAAGTTTCCCTTTATTGGACCATATTTTTGGTTTGACATAGGTACATTATTTATTGGACATCCTTTGCTGAGTGATATAAGTATTAACAGTGTTGTTTATGATTTACATACATGCATGTTTGTTATGCAGCTTTTCTTGTAAGTGTAAACATAGCTGATTTGTTAATAAATTTTATATTAGATGAATTTATTTTTGCATTTATTGGTGGAGAATCTTCAAGTTACGAAACTCTCCACTGACGTCTGTCTAACTGCTTTAGATTTCCACTGGTGGATAACTTTTGAATGTGTAATTCTGCACTATTCAAAATTTTGCAGTAGTTATAAATGCAAAAAAATGTATTGTCTCAAGTATTGAAAATCAGTACATTCATGTTTTAGAGTTGGTATTTCAAACAATGAGCGTTCATTTTGTCACTTTTCAGAGAAAAATATAAAACTCAAAAATGAAAATAAATGTCATAGTCTAAAACCTTATCACTTAAGGAGGAATGCCACACCAGAATTTTATTTAATAGATCTTTAAGACATCCCTTTTGAACTATGGTTTCAGCATTGAAAGACTGATATTAGCTCTTAATTATTTTATATGATTTTTTTTTTGCATTTTTTCAAAAAAAAAATGTTTTAATTGCAAATAAGATGCTTTATGGTTTAAAATTTGCTATTAATAAATGCATAATATGAATGTCTAATAAAATATGTAAAGAAGGCTGGATAGACATTTTAATTTTTTAGATAAGAAATATTTTATGAAAATAAAACACATTATTTGTTAATATTTTTTAAACCTATGGATAAAACCTTCATAAATTTGGAGATGGGTGAACATGACGAGCGATAAGCCTATAGTGTGACAAACATGAAGATGAAAAATTAAATTTCAATTATATCAAAATTTTCCTTGATATTTCGTCTAACATTAAATTATACTTTATGTAAAATCTCTATAATTTGCAAAAATCCCCCAAAGATTGAAATTATTTGCCTGTGAAATATTAGACACACACTAAAGCGGGCAAAAAGAGTCATTTTCTCATACTATAATACTATTTTTCGATATGAGTGGGTCTTCGCTCCACCTTTTTGAAAGTTAATCCTCAAAGTTTGCATAAAAATATACATTTTTGGTTACCAAAAATATGGAGCAATGACCCACTATACCTTAAAAATATACTTTTATGACATAACATTCGCATCTTTTCGAGAAACACTTTAAGTCCATTAAGTCAAGGGTCATATCACAAACATGATTTAAATGCCACTATTCATCAGGTCTTGTGTAGTCCAGTGGTTAGCGTGTTAGTCTCGAAAGAAAATAATACTCAGGATTTTTATTGTTAGGGTTCGAACCCACGAATACCACATTAATTTTTTTAATAAAAGAATAATTTTTGCCGAGAAAATTTTCCTCAGAAAAGTTTTGTTTATCATAATTTCATAAATGTCAATAATGAGAACTTTACTCTAAATACTAAATTCACAAACTGAACATGATTTTTATATATATCTGAAGCTATAGGCTTTCTGCACGCTATGTTCGCCCATCTCCATTAGTCACAAAGAGGGAGAACATGTTAGTCAATCATATTTTAAAAAGAAATTGAAATGAAATTGCAAAATTTTAGAGAAAATACTTATTTTAATATTTGGACCAATCCCAATCAGAATTAAACTGATCCCCATCAAAATTAACACAATATAAATAAAATAATTTATTGCCTTCTTTATGTATTTACCACTAAGAAATCTATTTGATTGTCAAATTCAATTACTTTTTAACCCGTATTACACCTAAACAAACTAGTATTCTTGTGAAAATGTTATTCATTTCTTATTATAAAATTCTGGTTGCGATCAGTTTAATTTCGATCGGAATTGGCTAACATTCAAAAATATATTTTCTCTAAAATTTCGCTATTTCATTTCAATTTCTTTTTAAAATATAATTGTCTAACATATCCTTTGTAGTTGTAACTTGTACCGGTATTTTGAATATATTATCCATAGGTTTTGAAAATATTCACAAATAATGTGTTTTATTTTCATAATTATTTTTTAGTAAGAAAATCAAAATGTCTGTCTTTTCTTTACATATTTTATTAGATGTTAATATTATGTAATTATTAACAGCAAATTTTTAACTCAAAAGCATCTTACTTGCAAATAATACATTTTTTTTTTCATTTTCTATGAAAAATTGGGAAAAAAATCTTATAGAATAATTAACAGCTAATATCGGCCTTTTAATGCTGAAACCATAACTTAACAGGGATGTATTAAAGATCTATGAAATAAAATTTTGGTGTGGACTTGCTTTTACTCGCGTCACACCGAACAGCCAATGTACATCGAACCCTTGGATAAAGAGATAACTATCACAAGTTTGTCCACAAAATTGATGAAACCTGTAGATTTTAATTCGCATTGTTATGCATGAATATTGTTTTAATAAGGAGAGGAACCAGTAAGTTGTTAGATCTTGTTTTTAATCCTTTTGATTTATTCAATAAAATATGTTCAAAACTATCACAAGGATAAATGAATATTATTCCTTTGTAAAATTTTCAAGATAGGTCGAAAATTTTGTTTATCATTTTTTTTTTCATTTCAATTAAATAAAACAATTTATAATCTATCGAAAAAGCCCATGTAAAACAAACTAAGAGTACATACTTCTCAAAATTCAACAGCCATATCTATACTTATAAATTAATAAATTTTGCAAATAAACTCCGAAACGGGTGCACCAGAGTTCTTACTTACTCCTCTAACAATACACTAGATACAAGCTGATGTCCGTAAACTATATTTAGATTTCACTCGCACAGTAAGTGTCGTACATTAAATTAAAAGTCTACTTTTATTTTCTATAAACAGCCATGAAATAGCAAAAACGTGAGTATGGTGGCGTTTCCGATTGGCGGATCTAAGTAAGTGGCAGTTTTTAATGAAACTGATAACAAGCAATTGTTTATTTATTTCATAAAACGCCATCACTTTATTATTCAATCAAAACTTGATTTAAATGATATAAAAGAAATAAGGTGTGATAACCGATTAAAAAGTGAAATGTGCAAATTATTTTCGTCATTCGCCGATCTTAATATTGATGGAAGCTTCTAGAACATCAGATAGCATCGAGTCCGAAGTTAAAAAGAAAAACGAGGCGATTATAGCTGCATGAAAATAAAAAAAAGCTTTTGTCATTGAAATAATGGTAAGTCATTGAAAACACTTATAAGTTGTGAATATATTTATATATCGAAAGACTATTACATATATGTAGTAGGTTTTTCTAATACATTTATCGGTAAAATTTGTAACTTTATCGGTAAAATCTGTATTTTCCTTACTGAGAGCATCGTGGCAACGAACCCGAAGTACAATTTGTACTTCGTAACAAACTTGCTTACATGAAAAGAGAAAATCAATGAATAAGATATTGTTCAAATATAATTAAAGCTGTAAAATTTTGTGCTTTAATCAAAACTTTTCATTTTTTTTCTGAATACAGTCTTTTGTATCAAATACTCGGCCTATTCATAGGAGTTAAGCAGCTAATTTTTACACAGGTACTTGGGTCTCGGTATATAAACATGTATGTACCGGGTACCTTATTGATATGTAAAAAAGGTAAAGTACATTTTTTTTTACATATCAATAAGGTACATACATATTTATAAACCAAGACCCAGTACCTGTGAATTTTTAACCCCCCCCCCCCCCATCAATTTATCAGTAAAATGTGCATACATGTGTATTCGCTCCTTTTATCCTTGGCGGAAATGAAATAAGAGCATCTGAAGTACAATATCCATAACATTATATAACAGATTTCACAATAAACGTCAATTAAATGAAATTGTTATTTTTCAAGTTTTTACAAAAAGGGGGTGGGGTGGGGTGGAGACGTACATTTACTTCCTGTGTGATTTTGAACAATGTATTTCTTCCTTCTATAAGCATGTAGACTGTCAGTAGAAACTACAACATATTTTCTGTCGGTAGTGTTATAAATTCAATTCCCCGCGCTTGCGCGGGATTTCATCTAGTTTTAACAGAAATGTATCTCATGTTTAATGTTATGCACTTAAGCACATCATATTAGATTATCATTTATCAATAGTTACTTTCATTCATAAGTTGATTCGATATATCCAAGTGAACTTGAAATAAAAGACAACACAGAGTCTGACACATCTGTTTCATATTTGGATATTTTACTAGAAAAAGACGTTAATAGTAACCTAACAACAAAACTTTATGATAGATGTGATTTCAACTTTTCTATCGTCAACTTCCGTTATTTATGTAGCAATATACCCTTATCACCTGCATATGGGGTTTTTGTCTCCCAGTTGATTCGATACAAGAGCATGCTCTACGTTCGATCAATTTCTAAAACGAGTCAAGCTATTAACCAACAAGTTGATGAAACAAGGATATCATCAGTCTCGTTTGAAGTCATCATTTTGCAAGGTCTATGGGCGATACAATGACCGTATCAGCAAACACAATCTATCATCGGGTCAAATGCTGACTGACGTTTTTCTTACTAATTGTTAGGCCATTATTTACATGCAGAAATTTCTACGGATTTTTCCGTTTACCCGATCATGACAAGGAGCACACGGCGGGTGTGACCGGTCGATAGGGGATGCTTATTCCTCCATGGCACCTGATTCCGACACAGGCACCTGACGTTATTTATTTTTCTTTTATAATAAAAAAAATATATACCCTTTACCTAATAACTCACTAATAAGGTAGGGAGTATATAATTTTTTTCTTTATTAAAAGAAAAATAAGAAACGTCAGGTGCCTGTGGTTTTTGGAGGTCTTATATGTTTGCTCTGCTCCTGATTAGTATTCTTTGAATGGACTGTGAGCTCGAATACTGTTCGTTGTCTCCATATTTAATATGATTATATCATACTTACTGTATAAATAAATTGAATTTGATTCGTCGAAAAAAAAAAGTAGATGGGTGAACAAGGCGTGCAGAATGCCTATAGCTTCGAAAATATAAATTTATATTCAATTTGTAAATTTAGTATTTAGAGTAAAGTTCTCATGAGATTTATAAAATTACTCAGTATGTTAAACAAAACTTTCCTGTGGAAAATTTTCTCGGTAAAAAAGTGTTCGGTTATAAATGAAATAATGTGGTACTCATGGGATTCGAACCCTAGCAATAAAAATCCTGAGTGTCATTTTCCTTTGAGATTAACACGCTAACCACTATGCTACACAACTCTTGAGGAATATCGGCATTCAAATCATGTTTGTGATATGACCCTTGACTAAACGGACCAAGTATTTCTCGGAAAGATGTGAATGTTATGTCATAACAGTATATTTTCAAGGTATAGTGGGTCTTCCCTCCATGTTTTTGTTCACTAAAAAATGTATATTTTTACGCAAACTTTGAGGATAAACTTTCAAAAAAATGGAGCGAAGACCCACTCATATCGAAAAATGGTGTTATGATGTGAGAAAATGATCATTTTTGCCCTTTTGAGTGTGTGTATACTATTTCATAGGCATTGTGAGATTTTTGCAAATTGTGGAGATTTTACATAAAGTATACTTTAATGTTAGATGAAATATGGAAGAAAATTTTGCTCTAATTGAGATTTAATTTTTCACCTTCATGTTTGTTGCACTATAGGCATTTCGCTCGCCTTGTTCGCCCATCTTCTTTAATTTGTTTTTTAAAAAAAAAACACACACACAAAAAAACATTTTTAAACCTTTAACAATTGTGTCCTATGTGAATTTATACTAAAAAAAAGTCTAACATTTCCATTGTTTTACTGAGTGGTCAAGAAAAGAACCGTTAACCACTGAGTGCGACATTGAGATATTGGACCTTAATGACGTTTTTACGTATGTTACACTTGGTGTTCAGCTATATCTTATTTGCATCCGTTCGTAATCGACAGTAATCGAATTAATAGCGGTGCGGGTAAACGAAGTTTTCTTCATGGAAACCAGCGAAAGATTTGTCAAAATAAAAAGGAAAAAATATAACAGAACATTTTTTTGACTGTGTTCTAGGACAAAATGTGTTTTGTCGACCCCTCGAAACAAACTGCTTGCATTCGGCCTAACGGCTTCAGGCATACAGTATTGGTTCTTGGGTCCGACAAAATGCATGTTGCTGCCGATAATGATAAATATGTATCGAAATTTCACAAGCAATATTTTTGTGTGTCTCAAAAAAAATATCATCTACCTTATGTAGGAGACTATTTTTGTGATAAGAAAGAAATATTTTGTCAAGTACCCTTGGAATATACACATGTAAATTTATGCAATTTAGTTGACGTCATGTAATACATTTAGGTAAAGATTAGGACTTTGGGGGGGGGGGGGGGTTCCCATGAAAGTTTGCTATATGGCTTCTAAAAACTGCAAGCAAGAATGCACATTGTAGTTTGTTAATTATAATTTTTTTTTCCTCTTTTTTAGCCTTGATAAATAGTTTGAAAATCCACAATTACTTTACTATACTTTGAGTCTTTCACAGTTATTCTGGATTGATTAAATAGACAGTAGTAGATCACAGTGACTACACACCATGTTTCTGTAGGTCTGCACTGTAAAGTACCGTAGCCAACAGGCTTATATCACCCCGCAGAATATTCTAGCTGTTTACAAGAAAACAATGCTAACTTCTGCACTCGGTCATACACATGTTAACCGTTACCAGTAGTAACTAAGAATTCCTCTCATCTCTATCTCCCCAGAACTGGAGTCAGCAAAGAAACAAGTAAGTAAATATTTCTCAGATACAGTTTTGTAAGCGCTGAATTCTCACTTCATTCTCTTTGTTGTTGATATGGATTGAAATGCAATATACATTAGCATCGGCATGATTTACAGGTGAAAAGGCTAATTCGAAATGGATTTCACCAAAAAATTACTATCGTATTCAAGTGATGTAATACCGGTAATACAATAACGTGGAAACAATACATCATGCAGTATTTTGAGGATAACATGAACATATCTCAATACCTAATGTGATCTGCATGTATAAGTGTTCTGGAAGCCATGCATTCTGATGATGTTTCTTAGGTTTATTGAAAATGTCAGGACTGTACATAGAAAAATACATGTGAATCAAGATTCGAAAAGCAAGTTTTGTGTGAAAATAATATAAATATTAAAACAGAACTAGATGCTTCATCATAACGCAATCAGTAACACTTGCGCATTAGAGTTTGTATCTAAATATACTCTCCTTTGTAACTTGCAAAGAAGCCACAATAATTATTCTATAATTTACGTAAATATACGTGTAAAAAGGCAACATATTTAATGCGTAGAAAAACATGTGTCCATGGTCTCTTAATTACGTTAGAATTTCATATACATGTGTAATAGATTCAGTACCATCTGAAATTGAGAAAATTAATGAAGCATGAATTCTGATTTAAAAAAAAAAATGAAAGAAGCTTTATGTATTAAAATAATTTTCGGTCCCCAATCGGCCCTCTGGATGAAAATGAAAATTAAAAACCTTATTGCAGATCTACAGGACACTAACCAATCATATTCTAAAAGATAATTCCGCTACTGCGAAAAACTGAGAGAATAGTTCTGGGAATATGGTTTTTATAGAATTTTTTTTTTTGTCCCCTAATGGCCTCCCCTATCAAAATGAGTTGAAAATCTTATTGCACATATTCAAGACACCACCAATCATATTTTGAATGGTGATTTCGTACTGTCCGTCTGTCGTACCATTTTCTTCCTCAAGCTCCTCTTACATTTTAGGCAGTAGCCAAACCATCTTTTGTAATATGATTGGTGATGTACTATATACAGGCAATAAGTTTTTGGAATATTGATTTTCATCCGAGAGTTGTGGCGTGGGGCTGTAAAACATTTTACACAAAACCTGGTTCCCAGAATCCCTCTTTCATTTTACGCAGTAGCCAAATCATCCTTTGAAAATTGGTTGGTGATGTCATGTACGAGTAGATGTGCAATAAGGTTTCAGGATTTTCAGTATCTGTTTGGCCAGTTAGGAGCCGAAGAACAACGTCATTCTACTAAATCATGCTCCCAGAACTATTCATGCATTTTAGACAGTAGCCAAATTATCTTTTGAAACATAATTGGTGGTGTCCTGTAGATATGCAGTAAGGTTTTTTCATCCCAGGAGCAAATCTGTGGCAAAAAACCTTTTTTTTTGAAATCAAGAAGAACTCTTACATTTTAAGCAGATCTAAACGACATGTTTGAATATGATTCTTGTGTCCTGTAGATGCGCATTACGGGTTAGGAATTTTCATCCTAGGGACTAATTAGGGGCCGGAATTATAAAATGCCTTTTTTAAAAACACAAAAACCTTCACAAGACTCCTTTCATAATAGAATTTATGCGCTTCCTATAGTTCTTTAATTTTGGAGTGGTAATGAATTCATTATATATGAAATACTTTATGGAGCTCATGGGCCACGTGCTCACCTGAGCACTTTATGCTCAATTTAATACATGTATAATATATTTGTGTAAATTTTTTATTGTGACTTCCCCTCTCCTTGCTCAGATACGAAGGAGTGCCTTAGTGACAAAACACGGCACGGAATGACAGCATCTAGATTACTGTTACACAAAGCATGTTATTAAACCCTCCCTCCTTTTTTTTTTTTTTTTTTTTTTTTTTTTTTTTTTGTTGAGCCGTTTAGTTTCTTCCGAAATTCAAGGATCATTATAAGTTCACAATAATGTTTGAATATAGAAGAAATATTTAATTAAATTCTAAACAATTAAAAATTAGAATAATTGAAAGAAATCAATTATTTTCAAAATAAAGAATAATTTAATTTATTGTAGGAAAGAGTTTGTTTAACTATGTTTACTATAGAAGAATATAGTTCAGTAGTGTTTTTTTAATCAATTTTTTATACCTTAAACAAACAACAATATTTCAATATATGTAAAACGAACAAAAAGAGTGTTTCATAATAAATTATAAAGTTTGAAATGGAGACACTTTAATTTATGAATTGAATCAATTTTGCACTCACATCTTTAAAATCTATTCACAGATATGGAAAATGGTTATGGTAGACGAAGTGTACCTCAATATTTAAAATTATGACCATCTGCACCGATTTTACAAACTTTGCAAAAGTTCATAACATTTAATGGGACCGCCTCCCTGTTCTGATAATGTTTAAGATTGCTGTGAATCATAATTGTTCACCATAAATGACATTATCGTTCTTGAAAGTGAGGGGACCAGCCAGAAAAAAATGACAACTTACCTGAAAATCTTCGACAAGCTAAATAAAAGTCCAAACTCGAAAATCTTAATTCGTTGGGGGAGGGGCGGGGTTGGGGACGTGTTAGTTTTTTTCCCACAATTTTTTTTATTGGAATACATTGCATACATTGGGATAGGGGTAGGGTGTGTGCTTTCAATTGTGACGTGCAACGCGACCGAGCTGGTTTCTGTTCATATGTGTTCTATATCTGAGGCGTTTAAATATATTCAGGGTTCGTTAACCTGTTAACTCAGGTTTTTGTTGACCACAATAATATATATCAAATATATTGCAACTACAAAGGGGTTCTTCTACATGTAGATTGGCCTACCGCTACATGTGGTTTACGGTATCTCACTATCTCACGTAATCAAATTTCTCTGGTCCTGCCACTCCACGGGAACTGGTCACCTGGTATTTCCCCCTTCACAGTGGTATGCCACCTCTCTCAGAAACCTATTGAATGCCTTTTTCAGGTCTTATGTATATGGCTCCTGTTATAAGCTTAGCTGAGTATCGTCCGCAACTGTTTGCCTTATTCATGATCAGGTCTTATAACAATGTTTAAGACGACACACAGCAAAGAACTATAAACACCGTCACAAGAGAGGTTTCTTACACACTATAATAGCAGTGCACGCTCTCCATAACTTGGCAGTTCCGTCCAGGTCCTACTTAAATGATCATATAATTAATGATTTATAGTGTTTAAAAAAATCCAACGTTTTTGACAAAACTAAATGAAAATCAATTCCGTTTTTATCATGAACATTTTCATACTAAATCAACAGTAACATATTATGTTTGGGGAAAAAAGTGGGCGGGGTCACCATGCCCCCTTCCCCTCTTATACTACCTGCCTATTTATAGTATAGAGTTGCAAAAATTGGAATTGTACTATAAAGAAATGCACATGACGATTGGAATCTATGATACCCAATCTCAAAGTTTTAATTTTGAATTGAGAAACCAGAGTTTTGAAATGCAAAATTATTTCGATGTCTTTACCAAACTTAAAATCGGAAATAAATCTTTTTTATCATCATTTTTAATGAAAAACTCTTATTTTGTATTTCTTTCTTCTGCATGTAGAAGTCAAAATGGACGATACAACGGAACTTCAACACAGAATCCTGGCTCTCAAAGTGCAAGAATGCATTGCAAACAAAAATAAAGAAATGCTAGCTAGTCTGTTGGAGGACATGTCAAAAAACAAGAGAAAAATAATAGTGGATCACGAAATTCAAGGAAAATCAGCACTGTTTCTTGCTTGTGAGTTGGAGGAAGATGAAATAGTCAAATACCTAGTTGAGAAATGTGATGCCAATGTTGAGCAGAAAGGGTTGCTAGATGACGCCATGTATAATGTTCACGTGACACCGTTATGGATGGCGGCCGAACGTGGTTCTTTCGATGTCGTCAAATGCTTAATTGAAAATGGAGCAAGTTGTAATAACATGTCACAAGGAGGGCTTTCTCCCCTAATGGCAGCCTGTCAAAGTGACAGTGCGGATATTGTATATTTCCTTTGTGAACATGGTGCAGATGTCAATAACATTTCGGAGGCAGGGGACACCTGTTTAAGGAAAGCTGCCGGTAACCCCGAACTTTGCAAATTTTTTATATCCCAAGGATCAGATGTCAACCAAGGAGTAAAAGGACAGTATCCTATCCTTCATCTAGGAATAAAAAGCAAACATCTGGACTCCGTAAAAGAACTGTTACGGGCGGGAGCAGATCCAGAGTCAGTTGACTTTGAGGGAAACGACGCCTTACAATTTGCAGCCATGGTGGCTGCTGTGGATATTGTTCATTATTTGATTGAAATGTTAGAATATAACAAAGATAGAATTTCTAAAACGTACAGATTACTGGGAGCATGTGCTATTGCTAAGGAAGACATCGATACTGGAGTTGAACTCTGGGAAAAGGTCATAGCTTCTGGGGGCTCTGATTTGACACGGGAATCTCCATTAAACGCTATTTACAGAGGAGTTACCGAACCAAAAACCCTGTCTGATTTGGATGAGTTAAAAAAATGCAACAATGATTTAAGTCTTGCTAGCTTAATTGTATTAGAAAAAATACTTGGAAAGACTCACGGTGAAACAATCCATCAAATATTAATGTACGGAACAGCTTTGTCCTATGATGAGATCGGGGAGGATTCAACAAGAATTATCTTGTACGCTTACGACTTGCTGAGAGAAAAACACTCTGGACTTCACAGAATGACAGAATATGCATTGTCTCAGGTTGTACGCTGTTTGTTTGATATATATCGAGAGAGCATTATTGACGAAGATATCGATACATCGTCTTTACATCAATTACACCTAGAAGTATTGTCACGTAATGTAGACTTTGTAGCCAAGAGCCAGACTGAAATCGAGCATAACAACGGCAAGGAAAAACAGTCCATGTTTTCTACTTTACTGGAAAACACATTGAATGTAATATTTCTTTTCTCAGGAACGGAACTAAGCGAGGACGAGGATGAAAAATACGAATCATTGTTGTCCCGCTTAGTGCGCACAAATCCACACGACTGGGAAAACCGAAACCTTCTTCATTTAGCCCTTTCGAGAAAACTTGATAGAAAAATAATATTTCTGATGTCACAAGGTTCGAGGAATTGGTATGTGTATTTAACTGAAGTTTTGTTACTCCACGGCGTCGATGTTAACGACCGTGACAATGAAGGAAACACCCCTTTCCACGTTAGTGCTGACCTATATACGAAAAATTGTTTTGAGCGTGAGATCAAACTTTTTCTTGACGCAGGTGGTCACGTGGACGCGGTGAACAACGCTGGTAAAACAGTTTTGGACTGTCTGAGAGAAAGCGGTAAAACTGTGTGTGAAGTTCGCCATACTTCTTTAAAATGCTTAGCTTCCCGGGCAGTAGTTCGTTATCGAATTTCTCTTCCTCGTAACATTCCAAAACATGCAATGGATTTGCTGAATATTCACGGACTGAAAGCATAGTGACTGTGAAATAAGCACTGAAGAATGACAGAAAGAAATAAAGATGGTCGGAGCATCCCCCTTGAAGTGGATAAACTGTTACCTTCGGCACATGTCCATCTTTAATACTACAAATTTTCTCGTTTTTCTTTCAATAGTTCATTGATTATGGTACGAGTCTGAAGAGTAGTCAGAAATTATATCAATGTATCGTCGATTTAAAATTTCCTCTTTTGTTTTTGTACGGCTTCACATTTACTTAAAGTATATGTTCCTCTCTTTAAAAATTTTCTTTCATCTTGGTAAACGTTTTAGTTTAATGTCAAAATTGTTCAAATTTTAATCACTGCATTTTAGCGTGGTCATTTTCAAAAGAGTTAAGTGAAAACAACAGGATTCCTTTATCTTCATTTTCAGTTTGTCAAACAATTTAAGCTGATTGATATATCAATCAATACTTTTTTTTTTATAACTGAGTGTATCGGTATAAAATGTTTCATCAATGACAGCTCTACCAATATGTTAGTCTGTTTGTTTTTCACAATTTGGTTCAATATGATTAATAAAATTTGCTCATTAATACGTCATCAAAACTATATTCATAATGCCCGGGGTATTTTTGCAAAGTAGGTCAAGGTCAGGTGGATTGTAATGCTGGTATTCCTACAAAAGAAGAAAAAATAAAACCGGAATCTAATGATAAAGAAAAATTAAAAATTTTGAAGGGCTTGATTTTAATTTACTAAAATAAAATGTAGGAGTAAAAAATCTTTTTTTCATCTTTTTAGCTCACCTGAGCTGAAAGCTCAAGTGAGCTTTTCTGATCACCCGTTGTCCGTCGTCCGTCCGTCTGTCCGTCCGTCTGTAAACTTTTCACATTTTCGACTTCTTCTCAAGAACCACTGGGCCAATTTTAACCAAACTTGGTACAAAGCAACCTTATGTGAAGGGGAGTTTAAATTGTAAAAATGAAGGACCAAGTCCCCTTCAAAGGGGAGATAATCAAGAAAATACAAAAATTGGGTGGGGTCATTAAAAAATCTTCTTCTCAAGAACCACTGGGCCAGAAAAGCTGAAACTTATCTGGAAGCATCCTAAGATAGTGTAAATTCTAAATTATTCAAATCATGACCCCCGGGGGTAGGGCGGGGCCACAATAGGGAATCCAAGTTTTACATTGAAATATGTAGTAAAAATCTTGAAAAATCTTCTTCTCAAGAACCACTGAGCCAGAAAAGCTGAAACTTACTTGGAAGCATGCTGGGGAAGTGTAGATTCTAAATTGTTCAAATCATGACCCCCGGGGATAGGGCGGGGCCACAATAGGGAATCCAAGTTTTACATTGAAATATATAGGAAAAATCTTGAAAAATCTTCTTCTCAAGAACCACTGAGCCAGAAAAGCAGAAACTTATGTGGAAGCATGCTGGGGTAGTGTAGATTCTAAATTGTTCAAATCATGACCCCTGGGGGTAGGGTGGGGCCACAATAAGTACTACGGGGGGGGGGGAGAGGAATCAGGTGAGGCCAAAGTTACTCAGGTGAGCGCTGTGGCCCATGGGCCTCTTGTTTTCCAATGAGGACTAAATATCCATCTTCTGAAAATGATTTCTTTTCTTACTATGATACATTTTTTGCACCATTTTACAGACATAATGACTACCGTCATTATCAAATGCATTGTATGTAAATTACTAAATTTTGACCTGCTCTGTGATCCCATTTTTCAGTATTAGATTTTGAATAAGCTTTAAGTATATCATGTATTTGAAATTTTAAATTTAAACCACTCGAATTTATTGTTAAAACATGTCTACCAAATTTGAATATATTATGACGTTAACTAAAAAAGTTACGACAGATATCGTAATCCATGAACTTTCCGAACCCACGTACATGTGTAGCCTTGAAAGATTACTTCTTAGTTTTGCACAGGAGCAATGATTCCCCTACATACAACAGTCATTCGTATAACTGGATGCGCTACGACAGAGAGAAACAACACAAATCAGGTTTAAGTTTAAATATTTTATACAACAAAAATGAGTCAAGAAGATAACACAAGAGGCCCATGGGCCACATCGCTCACCTGAGCACATTGGCTAGGCAAAAGCACAAATCAGTTTAGTATTGAAAAGACCGGGGGAGGGGGGGGGGGCTTGAATTTTAAACTACCTGATGATGCTTCCATGTCAATGTAACAAATGGCTTTGTTGTACTTGAGATTTTAAAAAAAATTCCCATATATTCCTTTGTAAAAATTTGATCCCCATTGTGGCTCCTCCCTATCCCAGGGGTCATCATTTGAACAAACTTGAATCTACACTACCTGAGGATGCTTCCATATCAATATGACTAAATGCAGCTTTTCTGTTCTTGAGAAGAAATATTTCTTCTTTATGTTCTTATGTTAAACTTTCCATTCCCCATTGGGCCCCACCCTACCCCTGCGGGTCATCATTTGAACAAAATTGAATCTACACTACCTGAGGATGCTTCCATATCAAAATGACTAATCATGGTTTGCAGTTCTTCAGAAGAAGATATTTTCCTTTATATTTCTATGTAGAACTTTGATCCTCCATTGTGGCCCCGCCCTACCCCCGGGGGTCATGGTTTGAACAAACTTGAATCTACACTACCTGAGGATGCTTCCACATAAATATGACTCATCATGGCTTTGCTGTTCTTGAGAAGAAGATTTTTAAAGATTTTTCCTATATATTTCTATGTAAAACTTTGATCCTCCATTGTGGCCCCGCCCTACCCCCGGGGGTCATGATTTGAACAAATTTGAATCTACACTACCTGAGGATGCTTCCATATAAATATGACTCATCATGGCTTTGCTGTTCTTGAGAAGAAGATTTTTAAAGATTTTTCCTATATATTTCTATGTAAAACTTTGATCCTCCATTGTGGCCCCGCTCTACCCCCAGGGTCATGGTTTGAACAAACTTGAATCTACACTACCTGAGGATGCTTCCACATGAATATGACTCATCATGGCTTTGCTGTTCTTGAGAAGAAGATTTTTAAAGATTTTTCCTATATATTTCTATGTAAAACTTTGATCCTCCATTGTGGCCCCGCCCTACCCCTGGGGGTCATGATTTGAACAAACTTGAATCTACACTACCTGAGGATGCTTCCACATGAGTTTCATCTTTCCTGGCCCTATGGTTCTTGAGAAGAAGATTTTTAAATGATGCCATTATTTTTTCAGTAATTCCTAATTATCTCCCCTTGAAAGAGGGCGTGGCCCTTCATTTGAACAAACTTGAATCCCCTTTACCCAAGGATACTTTGTGGCAAGTTTGGTTGAAATTGGCCCAGTGGTTCTTGAGAAGAAGTCGAAATGTGAAATGTTTACAGACAGACAGACGGACGGACAGACAGACGGACGCCGGACAAAATGTGATCAGAAAAGCTCACTTGAGCTTTCAGCTCAGGTGAGCTAAAAACTGATTACAAAATGAAATTTTGATTAGAACTTGTAAATTTTGAAAAGTGTATATTCTACTAGAATGTGAAAAAAAGTTCTTTTTCTGAATATTGCGTCTTTAAAAGTCTTTTTACTGGAGTTAGTCTATGTTTATACCAACCAAGAAAATTAGTGGAGATCTGGGATCAGAGAGACTTGAAAGGTTGGGGAAAAATCAGAAATTTTGATAAAAACATTTAACTGTTCCACTTTTTAAAAATTACAAATCTAAACGAAAAACATTTTTAACACATGGAATTATATAAGCTTTTCTTTAGAATGAAAGGGATATAAGCCGGAGAAACCAACAAATGTAAGGTTCGCTTTTCATGCAGGTGGAAACCACAAACGTAGCAAAACAAAGAAGGACATCAAAAGACACGCAGATGTGGACAGAACGTACAAGAAAAATAAAACATGTTTAGTAAATAAACAGTCTCAGAGACTTTTTCAGTTTTTTTTATTGTAGATCTCTTGGTCAAATTTGTATAAAAATACAATAAATATTACTACAGCACATATTTTATACACATCATGAAAAAAGGAACATCGTAAAAGAAGATATTTTTCAATAGGTAAAATACACCTAATTAATATGAAAAAAAAATCAATATAAAGGAACTCAGTGTAAACATCTATTCGTTGATGATTACAAACAGTAAAGTAAACAGAATAGAAGAACATATACATGTTTTGGCCGTTACATATGTGTCTCATCTAATGATATATTTTCAACTACATATGAATTTCACAAAATACGAAAAGCAAGTAAAGCATATGTCCTTTCGTTTACTTCGTCAACTAGAAATATGAAAGTCGTAAAGATGACTTTAGAGTAGTCAAATTCACAATTTCTATTTGGCAAGACTCAAAACTTCACAATGCTGATCCAGTGTTTGAGATTCTTATTACCTCATCATTATGGATTTAAGATAACATCAAAATTCACTTTTCATAAAAAACGAAGTTTCCTGTTCTATTGGGGTTATTGGCTCGTTGGCTGTACAAATGCACTCGCAAGCTCGTGCATATGTATAGCCAACTCGTGCCAATATATTCACCAATATAAGTTCAATAACTCCTTTATTATATAGCTAAAAATCCCCCATTGATATATATTAATTATTTCAATTAAATAGCTCAAATTAATAAGAATTTTTTTTCAATATCTGTCCTGTAAGTGTTCAATATCGCATCATTCCAATGACCCTACAAAGCGTTATAATTTGTTTACTGAGGTTTTATAGAGACCAATACGTATTAGTATATCAATTAATAATTTCAATTTTGTGTGAAAATAAACACATCTTACCTAGCTGCCACTACACTACCTATCGTAAATTTGCCTTTGCAAGGTTGACCAGACGGTGACTGCCAGACGACATTTTTTTTTACAATGGGGCGTTCGATATTGAACGCTCGTATTCGGAATGTTTCGGGCATACTCATATACGTCATACAAACTCAGCGTTCAATAAAACGGCTAAAATTCTCTACACTTTAGTACTTTTTTTATTAGCTATATAATAAAATATTTTATCTATTTCGTTGGGCTTTTCGCATATAGCGCATTTTTTCGAAAATACTAGTACGTTATGTATACGCTGATATCATAAAATTTATCATAACCAATTTACTTCAAATGATCACAGGTAACACCGCTCTGAAGCGAACAACCATATTGAAATAATTTTTATTTTTATGTCGTAAAACGACATATTTAGGCACTGTTTAAATTTTTGGCGACAAAATATAGCCTCGATATATTAAAATCCGCAAATTTCAGAACATCTTTAAGTTAGTTTTTGCTCAGACAGGGAGAAGATTTTGTTTTACTTTACATGCATTATATGTACATGTATGCTTAAGTAACGAAATCACTAAATATGTGAAGAAATGAATTGATCGTTACTTATTGTCTTCTGACGAGAGATTGTATCTGTGTTGTCAAACTGTGCTTTTGATTGAGTCTATTGTCAAGGTGTTTTCGTATTTATTACTGGACGGAACAATAGGTCTAACCCTGGAACGCTTATGGAATGGAAGCCATGTTGTGCCATTTGATTTCTGGAAAAAAAATACAACAGATATGAAGTAAAGTATTTAAATAGGTGATGTGTGGATATTTTTTTTCATCTAGAAATACTTTTAAGTCATTTCAGGGCAGAAATCGACAAAATTGATTGGAGACCTCTAGATGGTCGCATTTTTATTTCTCTCTCTCTAGGTGGATGTAGAATTACTAAACTTACAGCAACATCATTGTCAAAACAATCATCTTCTCTCAATGATGTTTGAATTCCAATGGACCGTTGTTGCCTTTGAATATATGACGTCACTTGTCCACTAATGGTTGGCAGACTGTCACGGCGTCGCACCTCTATGTTCATGTGGACGGCATAAAACTGCGAAACAGACAAAAAAAATATTAAGTACATCGTTACTTATTGATATTGAAAAAATTATAAGATTCTTTTATAAAGCCGTTTACCTTTGGAGCGAGTATTAGCACCATTGTAATTGTTACAACTACTTGACAATTCAAAAAATACAGGATGTAGATTAAATCAGGACCGGAAGTTTCAGCTACAAATTGCCTGCAAAAACAAATGACGACTTTTGGAAAAGCGAGTTGATTAAAAGAAAAAATGAAAAAAAATATAATTGGCAGGAAAATTAGTATTCATGAAAACTGTTTGATTAAAGAAGCAAATATATCAAGAACTTTGATAAAATTAATTTTATCAAAAGAGGTTAATTTGATGTCTGAGATAATTACATTTGCAATGATATAGAAAGGTCCATTAAAATATTGATGAAGATGCGTTCAAAGGAAATATGCGCATAAAGAGTGATCAGAGAGAGATTGAAGATTGACAACAGGAAGGACATTGAATTGAGGGCAGATGATTTGATCAGGTGATATTGTACAATCGCAAATAAAGTGAATCATACGTTTTTCTCACTTCAAAATAAAGAACAAAAGTAGCCTAACCTAAATGACTTCAATGGCGTCTCACGTGAGAGAATTTTTTTTACAAATTTATGTAAAGTCTGATCTTGTGAATATACAATGTAAAAGGTGAAAATAACAAAAATAACAAACAGTGATCGATAAAAAAAAAAAAATCAAATAATACAAATTTGTGATCAGGGCATAAAACATGGACCCTCGGAAATTCCAAAGGTGGGATCAGTGCCTAGGAGGAGTAAGCATCCCCTGTCGACAGGTCACACCCGCCATGAGCCCTATGTATTGATCAGAGTCAAATTTAGTATAAAAACAAAGACCTAACAATTGGTATAAAATATGTTAGTCAAAATACGACCCAATGATATGTTATATTTGCTAACAATGTCAAATAAGACTAAACTGTGATAAAAATTTCAAAATTTTGACTGGGGAACCGAATCTGAAACGAACAACTGGTCAGGGTGTAAAATCTCCCACATTTTTAAGTCGACTTAAAAGGCTTCAATAAACATTTCCTCTAAGTTTTATTGAAAATGCTATGATGGACTTTTTAGCCTAGCGGAGGAAATTGCCTAAATAACCGAGTGCTGAAGTAAAGGAACTATTTCTACATGAATACATGACGCTCGCCGAACTAAAGCTCGAAGCCATAATAAAGAACACAATCGAAACAAAGTATAAAACATAAAAATACAAATAAAAATAATATAACAAATAAAAAGGGAACAGATGATTTAGATGTTTAAAAGCTGCAACAAAATAAATTGTCATATAAAAAAAAATAGATTTTTCCTTCTTTTTTTTTTAAATAACAAATGGTATTTGTCAATGTGCTGGAAAATGAGGACAAAGGGTTAATTTTAAATGAAGAGCCTAAATAGTTCAATTTTTATATATATAGATGAATTTCATTCCCACAAGGACATGCGCCCTTATTTGCTAATACTGAACATTTACCTTCTTGCTTATGTTTAGTCCTAAATGTATTTCACCAATGAAATAATCAGTTTTCAAATAGTGAATATTTTTTGTGATTTTAATGAAAACAAACTACATGTATAACGTGCAACACAGCCAAACTGATGCTCTCCAGATTCGTTAACTCAAGTTTTTGTTGATCAGTCTAGTAAATACAAATATTATACAGATATAAGGAATATTTGTTGATTGGAAAACCTTTGAGTGTTGTCAACGGATATCCAGATTAAAACAGATTTCTATTGTCTTGCCTCTAGATACGAGTATCTCGAGGTACAAATACCAGGTATTAGTCTTTCCCCCACCTCAGTTGTGGAGTTATTTTTTGGAGGTTTCTTCAAATAGTTTAAACGTATATCGATAGTTTTCCCGAAATATCACTTTACTATAACCTGGAATTTTTTATTTGCATTTAATTCTCTTTTCTTGTTCATATTATGATGAACTAATCAAGGAAAGACTGGTATGTAGGTGTATGCAAGTTCCATTGAAAAAGACTAGCATTTCAATTCTTTTTTTCATTTTTTTCATTGAATATATGAAAAGTGCAAAGGTTAAAACCTGCAAAAGAGTAAGAATCGGTATATCTACAAAGACAGAGCATCGCGATAGCACAGGGAACGAAATTCGAGCAGTAAATGAGAAATTTCACGCATCCACATTTAATTTTACAGTCTATGTTAAAAATACGTACACAATGATTAAGATGAATGTACTGAGAATGATGGCGTTGTATATGGACCACGTGATGTGTTTACTTTCGTTGAATGAAGCTGGAGCTTTCCGCACAGTAAAACACAAGTAGACTCCGAATAAAAGCATTAGTACCTCCACTGAAGGTAAAAAAAGAAGAAGAAATCAAATGAGTATAACAAGTGGACTATGCTAGGAAGTTTCTATTATTATCTCACTGAGTAAGGCTAACAAATATCAACACTGTTTAGTGAATACTCTTACTTCCATAGGCGGAATATGACCACCAATTTTCTGTGCACATAGTGAACTTTAACCCGGAATTGGTTTCTCGAGTTTGTGTTGTTTGCCTATTGGCAGAGGACCATGCCACCAAGTACCCTATTGCTATGGCCACGATGGGGACGAATCGACGAATGAGAGTTTTGTCTGGCAAATGGACTCGTTTAAACTGACCCTGTCTAAATATTACAGATATCCTGTCCAAAAAAAAAAAAATGAAGAAATGAAGAAATAGCGTTACATGTTTTAAAAATTTGAATGATACGCAGTTGACATCAGTATTTAATGGACAATTAGGACACTAACATAAAAGAGCTATTTCTTTAATTAACAAAAGTACCGTTTAATATTCGATATTTCGTAGTATTTAACTAAATCTTAATGTGTACAGATTCCTAGACTGTAAATACTGTTGGTTGTGTTAAATGTTTTCTAGAAATGTGCTTTACAAGAGCTCTACAAGTACATCATTAAAGTGATGTTTGCGTGTGTAAAATGATACTTTAATTAAAACATTTTGATGTTAACAATTAACAAAGAACAAAAATGTCCACTACAAAGTGAATGACATGAATACTCTTAAGCTTGAATAAATATACAGCCTAACTTCATCGTACCTTTAAAACTCACATCAAAATGAAAGTACATTAAATTATGTTCTATTGCTAAGAAATAAAAGTATGTAAACCCCTTTATGAAGATCACAGGAGAAAAACAAATATTGACAGAACATTCACAAATAATCACTAGAAGGCTCTAAAAACGTATGTGACTCTCCATTATTTGAGCAAAGACAAAGCCAGTGATGTTTGTAGATTCAATATTTCAGGCAATGTTTTATGAAATGTGTAATATTTTAATTACATGGTCTATTTGCCAAAATATTACAGTTCAAAGTTTACCCAAAAGAAATCATAACAGTTGTTTAATGATACAGTAAAGTGACTTTGAGTTCTTTCATAACGAGTTAGGTTGTAATATACTCTGTTTAAGATTTTGAAAATCTAACCACTGATTGGTACATCCTCAGTAAACTGACCTCCAAGTTTTGAGGAGAAGGGATCCATATAGTAAGACGAATCCCAAATGATAAGGCCATGGCAATACCATACATAAAATATCGTCTGCATCAGGAAACATGACAAACAGCTGAAAAGACAATACAACTGCTATAGTTGATGCTTTAGAAGACACATAGATTAAAAACAAACATATTGATCTGAATAATACACAATGATAATTATAGAGACTGAATTTAATAACCTCTAAGTACAATCCAAGATCCATTGTCGATTAGACCTAACAAAACTACTTTGTCATATTTCCCTTACTAGGCTAAATGTGAAATATCAAGCAGTAATATTTTTTTCCCTAACAACCAATCCGAGAAATGGACGAAGCATGATTTAAAGCGTGAGACAACTATATAAGAACAATACCAGCATCCAAATGATTCCATGTTACCTGAAGGCACATCAACGCACTTCCGGCGCACATTAGTAGCAGGAAAATTGGACTTCCGCTTTTAATTACCTGAAATGGACAATTACATTACATTACAAATATCTGTCACTGGTGCTGTTCGCGGTTACAGGTAACGATTGTCAACACAGATCCATTTATGTTAAACAGATGTAATGTTATATCACAGGCATGAACCGAATATCGTTAAAATGGCGCAGAATTTTCTATTAAGAAGGCTAGTCCGCATCCTTAGAACTTTTTAAAATTATAATTATTCAGTTTGACTCATGGCTCATCACATTAAAAAGAAACATTTTGGTGCTACCTTGCTTTCTCTCAGATGAAATATCATCGCTGAAACGATGATAATTATAATAATAGTGAGGATTGTCAAGACGAGAACAACAGCTTTTATGTAAATATTCCTTGTAAATAGACAAGGGGACGCGTCTACACATTTCTCACACCCAGGTGCGCAACGACTGCATCTGTAGCGTGTGGATGAATCCAGAAACGTCACATTGTTCTTCGTGATGTCATCTTCGATTACGCTGCCGTCATAATATTTCTCTTTGGCGTGAACATCCGGAAAGAAGTAACCCGGAGCACACTCACATCTGTAGGCTCCACGAGTAAAACCTTTACCTGCCGTGAAAACGCACTGAAACAAAATTTAGTTTTATCACACGAAATGCTACAAAATATACATTATCACATTTTTACTCTTTTAAAATATGTTTAATTCACAATAAAATATTATCATAGTTCAACTATTGATGCACAAATCTCTAACTCATTTTTGACAGACTGGTCAAAAACAATGTTCTAGATCAACTCTATGTATACGCTTTTGCTTGTCTTTATAAAAAAAAATCGAGAGACAAAAAAATGGAAACGACAAACTTCAGAACAAGAGTTTTTCAATATTTTTTGGAACTTTGATGATAAAGTTTATATTGTTGATACCCATACTTTACTCTTGGGAGATACTTCACTCACTTCTGTTGAAAATGAACATTTTTTGCTATTGAACATTCGTATTCGTATATTCAATATTCTGGTAGTTTCGATTGAATCTTTTTGTTTAATATTGTGTATCAGCCATACCTTAGCTGTATATCTATCTATCTATCTATCTATCTATATATATATATATATATATATTCATGTTTTGTGCTGATTTAACTTAATTTTATTCTGTGCAAACTGTGGCAACATGTGTTTTGATTTTTGTGACATGTTATGTAGGTGGACGGCAAATTAAAGTTTTAGCCCAATCCCATTATATATATTTATTTGCAACAAAATATGTTAAAGTCACACAAACTTCACTTTTCCTGCAAGATATCAAGATAGTAACAAGGTACTTTTTTGTCACAGATACATTTATGTATATTTAACAAAGGCCTTTCCCTGTTTGTAAATGAACAAAGGCCTTGTCACTATTTGTAAACGTTGTTTTGTATCTACTCCTAGCTTACTTTCTACAGACGGTTACGTTAATTAAATCAATAGAATTGGTTTGGATAATATGTCATATCTATGCTTATGAATGCTCTTTCCTTACAGCAATAAGTTATTATAATTGTTTATCTGCAGTTTTGATTGTCCATAATTGCTAACCACAGATCTTGGTTGACAAGATTTTACTTATTACAGTTATCTGCTAATAACAGCTGCAGAGTGTGCTTACTTATTGGGGTTGTTGACTGGCATTTGTTTGCTTAACACTTGTAGTTTGAGAGAATTTACTTGCTGTAGCTATTAAGTGACAGGTATTTACTAATTACTGATTTTGATTAACGGATATTTATAAATAATTGTCGCTGTACCCCAGTTGTTGTTGACTGACATTTACTTACTACAGTAATGATTGAAAAGTTCTTATAATCACAGTTGTTGATTAGCAGGCATTCGCCATTTACTAACTGCGGTTGATTTTCATATTAAAGTTGTTGGCAAGTATTTATCATTTGGAAAGTGTTAACTGATTACATTTATTGGCAGGTTGTTACATTTTTTGACTGACAGTTATTTTACATACTACAGTTGTTGACTGACAGTTGTGCGTTCCTCTGAAGATGTCCAGGGCACCCCCAGAAGAAGAGAGATCCGCATCACATTGGTTGATGTCAATGTGGGTGAGTTCGATATCAATGGTAGCCACGCCTCTAAAATTAGAATATGGTTTGTGCTATTACATTGTTCACATCATTTTTTATTTCGAAACGTGAATCTCTTCATTAAGATTTACCGCTGGATATTTTTTTAATTACTAATCATCCTTTGTTGGTTATGTCCTTAATGAGGATAAAAAATTGGAGGTTCATAATAGGGATAATGGAATGAACTTCAGTGATCGAACAACATGTTTTTTAATACAGATATTTTATGATTATAATGTTATTTTCAATTACAATACCCATTAAATCCTCTAAATACTCTGTAATGTTTATGAAAGTCTTCTTTTCTTTCTTTTTTAATAGGCTATTTATTTCCATTTTGAACATTTTAATGACTACGCTGCACGATTTATGCCTTCCCCCGTCCTCTGACTTCCTATTAAGGCACCAGCTTCTTTTCTAGTCTGCGTTTTGTAATAGGAGAGAATTACAGGATTTCAGAGCATATTATATTGATGTTTTTCCGCGAGATGCTAAAAATTGATAACATTTTGTAACATTTTTACAATTAGTATGAAACTCAGACAAACCCAGATTACTGAAAGATTAAGTTCAACAAGACCGCTGTCCAAAACAGCTAGAAGTTGACACGAACCTCACAGGTTTCTTTAATGAGTTTAACTTGTATGAATTAGAATAACTTTGTTCCGTCATAATAAAACCTGCATGAAAATAATCCTTCTGAGAAGTCCACTTGTAGTCAAGGGATAACAAAGACCAGTAACGCTCATAGAAACAATTTTAAGGGGGTAAACTAAAGGGAACCACATTTCACATAAGATAGATTTGCTTGTATATATATATTTTTTAAATTTTAAGTTCATATCATTTCAAATTGGCAAGATCTATAAACCTTGAATTAATTTGCTTTTCTGTTGAAAATACTTTAATTCGTGGTATTTTTACAAGCCTTCTCCTTTAAAAGTAGAAAATGAAATACAAGCCATAAATTTAAATTTGTCTTAGTTTAAGATGTAGATAACTCACTGAAGAGATGCTAAATAAAACACGACTGCCGATTATACAACAGACGTATGCGTAATTTAACCCATTGTTAATACTAAACGAGGAAATTAAAAAGCTTGTGTAGTCTTCTATACTTCATTAGTCCTCCATCAATCAAAAGTCATTTTTCCTCTATGCTGTCATAATTATCAAAAATAGCTTTAATAATTTGAGAGAAAAGGCCGAAATGAGGAAGCAGCTAGTGCTAATGAAATATTCCCAAGGAAGATAGGAATTACCTAAATATTACAGACTGTTGGTTCGATGTTAGTCCAAAGAATGGGGAAGAATAAGTCACCATCCAAATGTTCCCCCCTCCACAATCATAATAGGGTTTGGTCCATCGTCCGTCACCTAGATCCGCCACTGGTTGAATGACGTCAATAGCGGGTTGTAGAGCGTTTCCTTTCCTGTAAATAATTGTACATAGAAATAACTGGGTTTCATACTGAAAATCAAATTAACCCTAGAAAAAATAATCCTGCCAGATCCTGCGTTTCATTTTCTAGGGAAAGGGGTAAACAAATAACTTTCCAAACTGATCTTTGCATTGCTTTTCTTGATTGTTTTAGAATTTGGTACAGAGAATCTTATTAAGTTAATACTGGTTTTAAATTATCTTTTTATTCATATGAATGGATGAACTATATAAGAACATCACTTTTTAAAAAAAATGAACATCGCAGAATGAAATGTCTGCCAAATTACAGAAAATATTATATGGAAGGCTGAAAAAATAGCCTCCCAAACTGTGAATTGAATTACATGCAATACTAGTAGATATACCTAAATTGAACTTGGTCAGTCACTATGGAAATATTGGAATAGTCTAAAAATCGGAGGGTGTGGTACCACTCAGTGTCAGGGTCGGTGTAGTTATAATTGACAGAGAGATCCATGGCATTGACAGTTACCGTGGAGTTGTCTATTTGTTTGTATGCATAAGGACAGTAGAGAGGATAGGAAAGTGAGAGGTCCGGTTCAAAGGCAATGGCAGATCCAAATATCACAGACTTCAAATGGACATTGTTCCTCACAAGAGAGTATAGAATATTGTCAGAAAGTGCGGACATTGTGTTGTTGTTATAAGTAATAAGTTTTGAAAGAAAATTGGCGGTTCGCACTGCAGCAAGGGCATATGTGCTCCACGCTGTTGCGTCGAACTGGAGCTGGAGAGAATTTCCTGTTCCTACGGTGCAGTTATGGCTTTCTACAAAGGCTACGTACTCCAATGCCTGTCGGGCTGTCATTTGTTTTTCTGAAAAAAAAAAATAAAATATAACATGCAGGCAATTTCATTTTAAGTTTTAAAGTCATTGTATTTCCTAGAAATAGATTACCAAGTACCATCTTCGTTAGCAAAATGTTTTTGATCCACCCCCTAGTGGGGACCTCAGAACATAGTTAGTGTTTTAATTTCGATTCTAAAATATGACGAAAGAATTCTCACGTCTTCATAGACATTAGAGAATAAAGGAATAACGGGTGCGAAAGACAAGAATCGTTCCTTTCAGTAAGTCTAAATTAATTAAGAGTAATGTGCCACGGTTGATATATTTGAAGTACGTCACCTTTTGAATAAAGGTTGATTGATTTATTTAACAATTATTTACAAATGAATTATAGTCACAATCATTCCCTTATCATCATGTATATTTCTCTTAGAAATTTCAAACAGCATTTTTAATTGTCTTTTTACATAGTTGAATAAATATTTATTATTAGTATAGGGACATCTTCGTATGTGATACATACATTCTACTGGGTCGATATCCAGTCTTGTAAACATTGCATGTTCTTACAATTATATGTAAATTTTGTAATCACCTCCACCCAGTAAATTCAAAATTTACAGCAACATCTGGTGTTGAATTCTTAATCTCTTCAAGTTATTAGCTCGTTGACTAAACATATATTTCTATTAAATAACATAAATTGTATTTATTGGACCTGTCATTAACTGACTGATATTCTGCACGTCATCAAGAAAAAAAACAACTTATCACCTTCACTAGTGCCATCCCCTGAACACATCAAAACTGCGTGCCACATCAAAACTGCCTTCATCTAATGATTATATCACAAGGTGGTATCTCAATGTTTTTATTGACGATTTGTTTACATCACAGTACTGTTTATTATTATTATTATAAACAATAGTATTTATTCTCCCAGTGTCAGTATTTGAGGTACTGTTGCCAGAATAGAAGAAGAATTTTTTTTCCCTAAGCATAACGGTAGAAGTACTTTGCTTTCATAAGGATATTTTGTCAAACTTATTAGCAGTTTTTTCAACATATATTATCACTCTATAACATTAAATCAGTTATTTATAATGATTGGATATTTCAGACCTGGGTTGATACCAGTAATCTCGGAAGGTTTGTAAAGCTTCATTTAGCATGTACCTAGAAGAATAATGATGAACCTTGACTGATTTTTTTTAATCAATCAAACATCACATTATTCCCTCGTGTGCAGTAGATAGATTTACAATGTTTATTTGTTGTTCGTTTCTGCCCACTGATTACGAATTTGTAACATTTATAGTGGGTATATATTTTTTTGCTGTGAAGAAAACAAAATATTTTCTTCCATGATAAAATTGGAATATCATTGATATTTAATACAACTTTAAATACTGTTGAAAAGGTTTTAAATGTGTGTCGTTTATTCATTTCAAATCTGAAGTTGAAAATCTTTTCATGAAATGATTTCTCAACTTTAGATTGAAAATGGATTAACGATACATATTATTTTTTAAAAAAATCTTAATGGACCACTCATTAATTACAGTGTGGATTTCAGAATTGAGAGTACTGGTATTAATAATCGTTAATGTAAATAATTGTATCTTAATAACATTGATTAACTTAGTAAATGACTACGACGGGAGAGTTTTCCAGGGATTATCAAGAAAAACCATTGTTAATATACACCCTTACACAAATACATGTTCCAGGATCTATGGAATAATTCACATGAATTATTAGTCTTAAAGGTAATTTTCAGCGATGTCCATTTACAAAAATGTATGTCAGTCATATTAACAGCGTGTTGCTTGGACAGATTTGATTCGGGGAAGATAAATTGGAGGGTATTATTGTATGGATTTATGTGGTTCTTTTCTAAAGCACATAGAATGAGACACTAGCCAGAATATCCATCATTATGATACTTTATTCTTCCAGTGAAACGATTATCATTCGAATGGTTTATGGCATGTGAATTGAAAGATTTTTTTCCCTCCTCAAATGAAGCAAAGTCTGTTATAAAAGAAAATGGGCATTTCTCCTTTATGAGGAAACATATGCTGACTTTGTTCTCTCATATTTATTGATTGCTATGAAGTTTATGTTTGAAATGTGTTTATGTAGAATTCAGGATTTTGAATGGCTGTCACAAAGCAGATAAAAAGAGATCGGACACCATATGTTGTAGTCATTTTTCCTTATCAACATACATACACTCCAAAGATCATATATTGCCTAATCAATTTGAATATTATAAAAAGAATATCATAAAAAGACACAGAATATATCAGTCTCATGAGAATGCTTTGGATAAAAATGAAAATTTTCAAAACCTTCAGTACACCACCAGTGTGTACTGGTGGTCACCAGAGTGTGACCACCAATCGGAGGTCACAAGAGTATGACCACCAATCACTTTCAAAAAGATGATCTGGCTACTGCGTAAAATGTAAGATGAGTTTTTCGTAGAAAAAACGTTATTTTTGGCTACTAATTATAATTACTCCCAAGGGTCAAACTGAAAATTCCGAAACCTAATTGCACTTGTACTAAAGGGCAACACCAATTCTATTCCAAAAGATGATTTGGCTTCTGTGTAAAATGTAAGATGAGTTTTGGGAACATAGTTTTCGTAGAAAAAACGTTGTTTTGGCCCCTAATTAGTCCCAAGGGTCAAACTGAAAATTCCGAAACTTTATTGCACATGTACTACAGGGCAAACACCAATTCTATACCAAAAGATGATTTAGCTACGGCGTAAAACGTAAGAGGAGTTTTTAGAACATGGTTTTCGTAGCAAAAAAAAAGTCATTTTCGCCCCCCCCCCCCCTCTCCCCGGGTAACGAAAAATCCGAAACTTTATTGCACATATACAGACACCACCAAATATTTCGAAAGATGATTTGGCTACTTTTTAAAATGTAAGAAGCGTTTTTGGGAACATAGGTTTCGCTGAAAAACGTCGACCCCCGATTAGCGGTTATGGTAACGAAAATTCCGAAACATTATGTACAGGACATCATCAAACATATTTCAAAAGATGATTTGGCTACTGCGTAAAATGTAAGAGGAAGGAGATAAAGGAGGAGACGGACGGCCGACCAGGATGATAACAATATACACAAGTATATAATAAAATAGATTGTACCATTTCATTATGGTAAAGGTATATACTGACTATATACAGATACCAAAAACAAAAAAAGATAGAAACCATCTACAATTGAACAAACCGTAACATTATAAACATGAGATGCATTATATCCACGTCCAGAGTGAGAATCAAATTACTCTGAACCTTTAGATACATCGAAGTGAACGACAATAACTTGTCTGGATTCAATTGATTGAAATTGTAAAACAAGAAAACAGTTCGATATCAGTTACATTCATAAGCAGAATAGACCTTGAAAGAAAACTCATTTAAATAAATGAAATATATAGTAAACTTCGATGAAGCAGGCTTTTTTTTCTTTGGTACCCGTGGCAAATGAGTTAATTTTTCTGAAAGGCTACTGAATGCGTATTTACTTTTACATATTCAAAGCTTAGCGTGTATTTTTGTAGGTCGTGAATTACTAGTAATCAGCGCTGTCGATGTTAAAGTCATATTTTAGTGCTCATAATGAATTACCACTATATTGGCAGCTTGAAAGACGGTAACTTAAGGATATAGCTTATGCGTGAATTAAATTTTAAGCAGATTTTAACCTTAATATCAAAATTTTGTAATTTAATTTACCAAACAAGTTTTAGGTTAAGTTTAATTTTCAACATTTCTTATGAAAATAAGCATATAAAATAGAATATCTGCAATTTCTTCAAACACCTGTCTATTTTTCATTAAAAAAAAATCTGTGGCCCTTTTCAAAAAAATAAATTTTACCACTAAGACAAAATTTTTCAAAATCTCCAACAAGCATCTAAGTTGTAGTATGTCACAAAAAGCCTATATTTCTATTTTATTAGATTACACTGTCAATATTTTAGAAAAAATAAATATCTTCATTAAACAAAGAATTACAGAGTTGTCAAATTTTAAGATTGTTTGTGAAAAGGGCCAATGCGTTGCGACTTCCAAAAAGAATTCCTAACACACAGTTTTATAAGTCCGAATGGCGCTATCCATGAATGTATTTATGGACAACCTGCATCATTTCAATTCTCACAAGTTCAATTATCATGCTTGTAATTTTTTTAAATATTAATTTCCATATTTACAAGCTAATGTTAAACTTAAAATTCCTACCGTTGAACTATCTTAGACATTCCTCTCTCCGCAGAATTTAGAACTCGAAGAAGATTCTTCTTTTAGAATTACATGTAACTGTTGTAGACATTATTTTAATCATTAACATTGAATATAAAATGTTTTTGCAGCATAAAACATAGTTCTGTTCTAATTAACAACTGGTTGTTTGCAATTAATAAACAAGCTTAACAGAAACCTTTTCATAATTAAGATGTGTCTATTTGAACTTTTACATACTATGAATATTGAGTCCAAAATTCGATCAAACAAGAGTGTTCGTACCAGAGTGTTTGAATATGAATTGCAATACATTGCATAAGGTTACTGTGATATAGGAAAATGTTAAACTCTTTACCTGCATAAATCAGAGCATATTTATCCTGCAATATAAGAAGCACCTGTAAAACAAGAAGCACAGGAAATTTCAGAAGTCTAGCTCGCACCATTTTAGTGTGATCGTCTGTCGTATCGTCGGCGTCCCCATCTATACACATCTAGACTTCTGTCACTCCCTTATCGATTCTGCTACTACTACAGCAGCGCGGTAATTGGTTCAAAATTTTCTACCGGTGGATGGCGATAAATTAATTTTTGAACAAAGGTAAATCCATCGCTTTTTCATGTCATTTATAGGTACAATTGTAAACAGTATAGCATTACCTACACCAAATCAAGTCTAATATTGTTCACATCGGTAGTGGAAAATTCAATACAACTGACTCTTTTATTACAACACAATTGACCACTAGGATAAAATCGTTGACTTGATGTAACCCATCGAATTCCTGCAGTTTTTTATGTTATATATGTTTTATGTTATATGCTAAGAACACAATATTTAGTGTAGAGTACACAAGGTGACCCAGAATTTTCAGGAAAATTGCTTTGAATTGCTTGTATCCTTGCCCTACAGTCTATACATTTCAAATAGAGTTCAATCCCGGGAACTTGAAGACCCAGTTTCACTGATGCTTATGGAAGTTGAATTCTAGAATGACTATGATCTCCCGTCTTTACACACAGGAGGAAATTAAAAAATTTTCAAATTTTATCTTGACTTCAATTATCGTTAGTGATATTACTTTTCGGTCATTATGCAGGCTGAATTTTCCATTGAACTGTCTCCTGTGTGCATCAATAGCACAAACAGTATTACTGGTCCTCTGGCAAAGGTGAATTGTTTACTTTCCGTAGATATGTGTTTATCTTCATCATTACACTACAAGGCAAAATAGCAGGCATGCATTGAGTTTTGAAACATTGTTAGCCTTAATTCAAAATTACTCTGGGGCGCTGAAACGAATATATGTATTTCCCATTATAAGAGATGGTTCTTTTTTCTGATAATTTGAGGGTCACTTGACAAATTATATTTTTTTTACACAGGTAAGACGGATTATAAAGGTCTAATTTCTTCGTCGGAATTCATTAATCAAACGGAATTGCATTTTTCATGTTTATAATAAATCAGAATATTCAATATTATTAATCTTAATTAATCCATTTGATTAAATATCACAAGCTACGAAGAAGTAGGTCTAATTAATATGTTCACATAAAGGAAAAGCACTGTAAAGAACCTTATTTTTCATTATCTAGACAAAAAAGTACATTAATTAGTACCTTAGTGATTTGTTTATAACGGTTTTACTATGTACTGTATGTCGGTGAAAAAATTATCTAAGATTCTGTTATCAGTTGACAAACGAACAACACCAAACCTAAAAGTAATTAATGTCCAAAACATAATACGCACTCTGTTCTGATCTGTGACATAGCAAGGTGAGAATGAATCGAGAGGCCTTTTTTCAATATCAGAAGAAACAAATGACTTTTTAATGGTCAATTAGTTCATCGGAGACAACGTCCCTGATGTTTAGAAACTTAATACTGTATCAGCGAAAGCATATCGATTATCAAAATGAGTTCCGACTAGTTCTTACAGATTAAAGTAGACGGTACGTACACGTGTTACGTATACATCTAAGTAAGCCAAACTCATTAGTGAATCCATAATGTGCGAAAATGAGAGTAGAGCAAATACTTAAGGTATCTTACTTTAAACAGTCTCAGATTTCCGTTAAATCTCTTGAGAAGGAAACTTACATATTCAATATCAATAATCAAATGATACAAATGCCCGCTCATCCTTAGGACAAGGGAACAAGAATCCCTCGGGGGGAGGGGGCAGCGTGAGGGAACACGAAGATGCCAGAATGTCAGGCAGTGGGGTGGAGAGGTAAACACCTCACTCTCTTGTTTTGGTCCGTGTTTTATGCCCTCTTCACAGAATTGTATTGTTTATAGATTTTTTGAAATCGACCATTGTTCGTTATAATCATTTTTTTCCCTTCGTGTAATGTATTTTCCTTGTACAATAAACTATTGTCATTTTGCTTTACTAATATATAAGCTGCTATATTGGAGAAACTTAATATATGCTATTGTTACATTTCCTGTCTTTAAGTGCTATCAAGACCAAAAGGAGTTAATGCCAAAGAAAATGTTTGGCAGATGAAGAATTTTGTTGTAGGGGGACGGGAGACCATATCACGTGAAAAAGTTGGTGTTCCTTTCAAGATCTTTATTATAAAAAGGAAAGATAAAAGAAGTCGAACACAATGACGAAAAATTTTATTTATAAGTTTAAGAAAGACCTCAATTCTCAGAGAAACACGCAAGTGAAAGGAATTTTAAAAAATACTTACATGCTTAGAAGGGCGCCAATTTTCCTAAAGAAAGGGGGCTCAAGATTTTAGATTTAAGTTTAATGAAACTTGCATCCAACATGTCTAGACTACGAGTATTTCAAGTACACACACCATCTATAGAGATTCCACTATAAAATGCAGCTAAAACAATAAATTGTCATGATTTTTGTATCACTTGTGTACTTTGTATGTATACATAAGAATCAGCAAATGAACCTTAATATCTTGAGACCAGGTTTAGTTTATGAAAATACAACCCTTCTTTTCTCCAACAGTTTATTTTTTAAATTCTTTTTCTGAATATCTATTTTCCAAGAGAAGGTCTCTATTTCTTTTCAAAAATCTCTAATCTTGAAAACATGTAATTGTAACTACATGTATTTGGATGTATACAACATGTACAAGGCAGTTATCAACCTCTGTAGTCCAGTGAAGAATACAAATCGTGAATAGGGCAGAAACACTCCAGAGGTGGGATCACGTGCCTAGGGGGAGTAAACATCTCCTGTCGATGGGTCACACCCGCCCCGTAATTCCCCTGTATTGATGAAGTTTATTGAGTGATCTGTAATCAAAATGGTTTAAAAACATGTCAGTCAAAATCCGACCCAACGATAGGTTGTATTTGCAATCAAAGCATGAACTTTTCACTTATTTTTTTTATTATCATCATTTTTTTTTTTTTTTTTTTTTTTTTTTTTTTTTGTTGCAATAATCGAACCATAAAGTGATTGAATGTTTGAAATTAATGAATTCTGAATATCACACATTTTGCTTCATACAGCAACAAACGTTTATCATTACAAAAACTTTATCAATGCTAGACATAGAATTTTACTGATCTGGAAACACCCGATTGACATAAAGTCACAAATCATCGCTAAATCAAAATTTGCATAAAATACCTTGGGTTTGGAAGTATCTTAACGATTTTTAAAATAAAAATCTTAACGATTTTTTTTTATATAAAAATGTCAATCAAATGAAAAACAAATAGTCATTCAAATGTTCCTTTTCTTATAGAATAATGGTTGAATTATCCTTTTACGACAATTTAGTTAGCCCGGAATATAAAGCTTGATTTAGAATTGTAATAATTCACATTCTGTTTACATTTTGGACCAAATACACATTTAATTATTCAAAAATTTCAGTTTTCATTTTAAAAAAAATGATATACGACTTAAATTTTAGAATCCGTAAGATTCCCACCCGGTTTGGAGACGCGAGCTGTATTTTTATGTGTAGTATATAGAAAAGAAATTAAATTAAATATTTGAAGACATTAAATTAATGAATGAAACTTCCCATGCGTTCTAATGTATCGAGCTCAAAGTGGATGCGCAATTAGCATAAAAGTGAATTCCAATATTTGATACAAAATATAATAACCTCAGTAAAGTGATCACACATAAAAAAAAATCAATTTCAATCCCTAATCAAAAGGAATTTCATTACAGGAACGGGAATGTTTCGATTTATCAATCATTACTTAACAGAAAGCCCGTGAAATTGATGTGAGATATATAATTCTATAGCTCTACAAAAATGCTATCAGATTTTAATATGGATCTCCCTGAATTCGGACTAATTTCTGATATTTACAACAAAAATATCACAACCTTTAAGTTATTCTCCAAAATTTCTAACAAAACTCAATAATTTTTTTAAAAGCATACACTATTCATTTAATCAAGGATATTTTTTAAAGCTTTCCTACAATAGTAAAACACCAATCTGTCGACCGCTATGAGTCAGATATCAATATATATTGAGATATTTACTTAATATAAACTTTAGTTTGTGCTGTGTGATTGGTGTATGGCCTAAGTATCTATGGTAGAAAACCGATTTTCTCCATACTGACAACAATTTTGTACAAGAAGGAATATTAATTTACAATCTTAAATATGTGAAATGTATAATTAATCTGCACAATTTAAAGGACGATATTTCATTTCCCCAATAGAGCACATAATTTATGAAACAAATATCAGAGAAATATACTTACTGCTTATCAGAGAAATATACAATTGTACCAAATTTACTGCTTTCATTTGGTGCTTTAACGATTTAGCTGTTTAAGTATTTATTAATTCAGAAATACCTTTATCAGAATATGTAGATCTTTGAAAAAATAACTATCGCTTATATTCAAACCACACAGTAAATGGAATGCCTGAATTGACCAATAATAAAATGTCCAAAGGGAAAAAAAAACTTAACAACGAACATATTGTTCTCAGAATTTACAACCCGTTCACTTTTTTTTTTTGAGAAATAACAAAGTATTCTAAATTTTAGTTTTCATGTCAATAAATATCCTACATTAATTCACAAACCTCCCAGTTTGAAGATTTAGGCTGTTCTTTCATTTAAAATAAACAGGTCAATAAGCAGAGAATTTGAACTGTAATGTACATGTAGCAAACTGTTTCATAATCCGTTCATCTGGAAAAAAAATTGATGGAACTACCCCTTCATTTGAACCTATCCACTCAAAGAGAATACTAAAACAGCATAAAAATGGATTCCAATATCTTAATCAACATATATTAAATCTGGTATTATAATCACAGATACAGAATAAAAAAGTCAACATCATACGAACATCAAACAAATGAAATTTCATTTAAACAGGACTGGGACAGTTTCAACTTATCATTCATTAATGAGTCTGACTATGGTAGTATTATAGAACATTGAGTCCTTAAG